GCGATATAATCCAGCTACTATATTGTTTCCAAACTACCCCTCAAATGGCCCTTAATTTTAGCTGTCTCTCCTTGTATTCCCTCCCTCATCCCTCTCTTTCCCTTTCCCACTCAATCCTCCCATTCCAGCCCCTACCCCACCCAACCACAACTGTCTATTTTTTCCGTTTCCTGAGATCTATCTATCTCCCCAGTCCTTCACTCTAAACCTAACCTTTGTGGTTCTACAGACTATAGCTTAGTTGTCATTGACTTAATATCTAATATTCATATATATGCAAATACCTCCAACATATTTGTCTTTCTAGGTCTGGGTTACCTCACACAGAATGACTTTTTCTACCCATTTATCTGTGAATTTCATTTTTATAAACAGCTGAGTAATAATACTCCATTGTGTAAATGGACTGCATTTTATTTATCCATTCATCTGTTGAGGGAAATCTAGGTGGTTTCCAGTTTCTGGCTATTATGAATAGAGCAGCAATGAACATGATTGAGCAAGTGTTTCTGTGGGAGGATGAAGTGCCCTTTGGGTATATGCCCAAGAGTGACATAGCTGGGTCTTGAGGTAGATCAATCCAGTTTTCCTGAAGAAACTACTACACTGATTTCCCAAGTGACTTTACAAATTTGCACTCTTACCAGCAATGGATGAGCGTTCCCCTTGCTCCACATCCTCACCAGCATGAGCTGTCACTTGTTTTATTGACCTTAGCCATTCTGATAGGTATAAGATGAAATCTCCAAATAGTTTCGATTTACATTGCAAGTATGTCCTTGTGGTTCTTTAAATCTCCTTGGTGTCTGTTGTTATGTCCCCCTTTTCATTTCTAATTTTGTTAATTTGGATATTCTCTCTTTGCCTTTTAATTAATTTGGATAAGGGTTTGTCAATATTAATGAATTTCTCAAAGCACCAACTCTTTGTTTCATTGATTCTTTGTATTTTCTTTCTCTTGTTTGTTTCTATTTTCTTATTTTAAACCCAGAGTTTGACTATTTCTTGCTGTCTACTCCTTTGGGGTGTGATTTCTTTTTGGTCTAGAGCTTCCAGACGTGCTGTTAAGTTACTAGTATGAAATCTCTCCATTTTTTTTTTTTTATAATTAGGGGCGTAGTTGTTGCCTCTTAAACCTGCCTTCATTGTGTCCTTTAAGTTTTGGTATGTTGTGTATTCATTTTCATTCAATTCTAGAAAGCCTTTAATTTCATAAGTTTTGTCTTGACCCATTTTTCATTCAGTTGTAAGTTGTTCATTTTCCATGAGTTTGTAAGCATTCTCTTTCTGTTGTTGATATCCAGTATGTGCAGTCAGTTTTGGAGAAAGTTCCATGAGGTGCTGAGAAGGTATATTCTTTGGTCTTTGGGTGAAATGTTCTGTAAATATTGGCTAGGTCCATTTGGTTTATGACATTGCCTGCTCCAACATTTCTCTGTTTAGTGTCTATCTGGATGACCTGTCTGTTGGTGAGACAGGGGTATTGAAGTCTCCCACTATCAGTGTGTGAGGGTCAATATGTGATTTCAGTTATAATAGTGTTTCTTTCATGAACTTTCATGGGGCCCTTGGGTTTGGAGCTTAGATGTTAAAAACTTTAATGTCCTATAATGAATATGTAGTGTCCTTCCCTATCTCTTCTGATTAACTTTGCTTTGAAGTCTATTTTGTCAGATACTAACACAGCTACACCAGCTTGCTTTTTAGGTCCATTTGCTTGGAATATCCTTTTCCCTCCTTTTATCCTGGGGTGATGTCTACTTTTTATATTAAGGTTTGTTTCTTGGTGCAGCAAAATGATGGATTCTGATTTTTGCATCCGTACTGCTAATCTGTCTTTTCATTGAAGAATTAGGGCCTATGATGTCGAGAGATATCGATGAGCAGTATCTGTTGTTTCCTGTGACTTTGCTCCTGTGGTGTGTGGACTTTCCAGCCAACCTCTGCAGATCTTGTCTGCAGAACCTGAGATCTGAGGACCCAAGAGAATGGGGCAGACTGCAGTCTCATGCTGCAGACAGCCTGACTTCATTTGCAGTCTGCTTTGTACATGGATGAAGCAAAGGAAGCAATGTTCTGAGGAAGGTTGTTTGAGTTCAGTAAGCACGTACTAAACATTGACAGAGCAGCCCTTTCACGGAATTTTCTCAGGACAGACCAATTTAAACACAATTGCATGGCACAGACTACAGATTATATCTGGGAAAGCATGAACACAAGGCAGAAGGCCGTATCCAGATTCAGGGCACATTGACCAGATTGGGTTCTATAGCTGTGCTCTGACATCCAACAAGAAGAAGCATATCTTATGAATTAAATGTAAATGTTTGTCACAGAAGGCACGAACTCATATCCAGGAACAATCCAGGGAACAAAATGCACCTGAGGTAAAAGGCCCTCTGCCTTTTCCCTGGAGCCTCTCTCACAGTTCCCCAAGGCATTGTTCACCATGGCTCATCCTTGTGACCGTGTTCAGACAGTGGCGTGTATATGTGTGTGTTTTCTGTCTTTTGATTTTCTTGTCTGGGATTATTTATTTCTTATGTTTTTTTAGGTGTGGTTAACCTCTTTAGGTTGGAGTTTTTTCTTTGTAGCTCTTTCTGCAGGGCTGGATTTGTAGATGATTTTGTTAAGGACTCACTCATTTCCTCTTTAAGGCGCTCTGTCATAGTCATAAAGGCTGTTTTGTGATCCCTCCTATGCTCAGCTAATATTGCCATACTTGGGCCTGCTGTGGCAGTTGTTGGGCTCTAATGGAAGCATACTGTCCTGGCTGTTATTGATTGTGTTTTTTTATTCTGGTGCCTAGACATCTGGATTTGGGAAGATATTAATTCTTGGTGCTGATATCTGGTCTTGTCTATGTTGGGTAGATGTTTTGTTTTGTTCCTGGGTTTCTGATGCCCTCTCTTGTTCTTAGGAGAATATGGTGGCTATGTGTTGCCCGATAAGAAATTCTTCTGGGTCCCTGATAGGTGAGGCCACTGGGGGTTCCAGGTAAAATGTGTTTCTAGGTATTGGGGGCTGACATTTAGGAATGTGGATGGGCTAGGAGGTAGTCTACAGGAGGGAGGAAAGCAGAGTGTTCCACCAGAACCTGCTTAGCCCCTGGGAATAAGGGCAAAGAGTGAGGAAGGCTGCAGCAGGAAGTCAGCTAGAGATGAAACTGGGATGGGGTGAGATTGGGGGACTGGACCTGTTGGAGTTGGGGAAGGGGTGAAGATATGTATTTAACCTACTTGCTGCTTTGGCCTGAGCGACCCAAGGGCTCCAGGGAGTATCTGCTGGAGTTGGAGGCTGGAAGGGGCAGGTGCTCTGCTACAGAGCCAGGGATAAGACTGGGGAGGGGGGAATTTGGACTTGAAGGAACTGAGGGAGGGGTGAAGATCTGCAGTTAGCCTACATGTTTCCTGGGCTGGAGTGGCCTGAGGGTTCCCAGAGAATGGCTGCTTGGGGTTGGGGGCTGGGATAAAACAATGAGGTGGGGGTTAGGAGGGGAAGATCTGAGTGATATTGAATATAAAATAAAATGGAAGTCTGGCAATGAGTGGCAGAAGTTGCAAATAAATAAATAAAAATGAATCTATGTAACTTCTCCAAAACGTCTTCTGTTTTTAGGAAGTGCATTTTGGGGAAATGATTGGCCAAGCATACAAACATGGTCTTTGTATTATTGCTCCTAATAACAGTGACGAGAACCTTCAACTTCCAGGAAGGGAGAGCTGATGAAGTAACTGACAGTTACTATTAAATGTGGTAGCTTTCATCATTTTAACAGAGTACTTGAAACAATTAACTTAGAGAGGATTTGTTTTGGTTTGCAGTTTTAGAGTTTCTGAGCATGCTCCATTGATCTGGGCCTGTGGTGAGCCAGTACAGTGGCAGGAGACTGAGTAATGGCAGAGCAAGAGTGCTCTCTCAGCTCATGGACCAGAAGCGGAAGAGAATAAGGAAGGGTCAGAGTCCCACTATCTCACTTAAGGACATACCTCTAGGGCTCCAAACTTCCTGGCTGGTTCTATCTTTACAAGCTCTCCTGCCTCCCAATAATGCCACTCAGCACACCAGGCCTTTAACACATGGGCCTTCAGGAAGTTATACAAGATCCAAAATATAGCAATGATAAAAGGATTTCTGCTCTTCACTCAAATAGAGAGTCAGTCAAATAGAAGGACAGTGGTTAACTGTGGTTAATGAATAGGCTCATTATTCACAGCTGGGTAGGTTATGGATTACTATATATGTAAATACTGTGTAATTAGAAATTTGTATAATTTTGCATTCCTTTCAAGTGGAGCTACAGATAATTTTCTTAGTATCCATTGGAAATTGGCAAATTTTACATGGTAAACATGTACTACTTACTAATAAAAATGTCTTCAGATAGATACATATATAATCAATAATTTTATGTCACAGAAAGACAGTTACAGGAATGATAATTAATGGTACGTTTGAGGAAATTGTTCCCAGTTCCAATCCAAACTCTCCAACCGGAATGGAGGATGTCGGCTCATCCCTCAGTAAGGACCACAGAGAAGACTTTACACCTATCAGGTGTTCCCCACACTACCCGGGAGTGAAAGCCAAGCACCAAGGTAGGAAGTGGTAAGATGTTTCCTATTAATGTACATAGCTTCATTTCTATGTGCCGTTGCTCAGTTGTATTTTAAATCTACCTACATGGTTACAAGTCTGAGTTTTGCCATGCTAACAGTATTTTCTCTTTCACACTAATATACTTTTCGCAAATTGATTTCTTGTAGTTTAAGTTTGCTGAAACTCAAAATGTACAGATTTGAACACGATGTGTTCCAGCATGTTCTGGAATGTCATTGGCTTTGAGTCCAGATCTCGTGATATGGAAGTGTAGTGGGACATTAAGCTTTGGATTCTGAAGTTATGCCTGTTTGTTATTTCTCAGAACATCTAATATATGTGAAAGCCAAGTTCAAGTCATAGATGAAGTTGTGGTCAGACTAGGCCAAGAAATGCACCAGTTTTTAAAAGGTTATTGTCAGTACCAACTAAAATTATGTTTTATCCAAACTATTTTCCAATCTACACTCTAGCAAGTCGAGTTCTTCAGAGCTTGCCAAGAACTGGCTTTCTTGTATTATAGTGGCCCATTCTGTGTTTAGTGACAAAACTTGAAGGTCTTTTATGTAATCACTCCTGCTATTTAAGAAATGCTACACCTAGGAGGCACACACTGCAGAGTGAGCTTCAGGGCAGCCAGGGCTGCATAGAGAACCCCTGTTTTGAAAAGTGGGGGGGGGGGGAATTTTGAGCATGAAAAAAATAGCTCAGATGTTTTGCTGTTGTTTTGATGTGATGCAGTTTGGGGAAAGCCGTTATTGAGGCTTAGGGGTGAATTATGGTTTATTTTCCCTATAATTTCTCTTGATTTATTAAAATAGTTCTTGTAAAATTTTGTGGAGATGAAAATATATTTATATTAAATTATATTTGTAGAGAGAGATGATTTGTAAAAACTATCAGGCTAAGCACAAAGAGCTGTTATTCTTCTTGTGGCTAACTATAAGCTACTGTTGGATAAAATCAATTAGCTAGGGGGAAATAATGTTTAACTTGTTTTCCTTTGGTGTCCTTGTCATAACATTACTTTATTGTCTTCATAATCTAATATATTTTCTCTGTAGTTACATATGTTGCTCACTTCAAACACGTGCATAGATACCCATCATTTCACTGAGGTTAATCTTGGCGGTGGAAGTGTTTCCCATGATTTTGTCCCTAGCTTTAGCACCACTAGTATAATTTGAGAATACAAACCTTATTCACGCCACCCTTATCATCACTGGATATGTTACTGCTGTTACCATGGTAAAGCACATAAACCAGTGTGATGGGAAAATGTATACTTATTTGCATCTTTAAAAGTTATTAGTATGTATTGGCTATTTTTCTTTTGTGAAATGATTTCTCCTTTTTTTCTTGCATGTATTTTTATATGTAAAGATACCTATGTTTCCTAATGCATTTAACTTTAATATGATCAGTTCTGGTGGTGTTTTGTTTTATAGATTTTTGTATTGCATTTGTCTTGGAAAGTTTTTACTTTATTCTTACCTATTACATAACTTTTCTTTTGTTGAAGGTGTTTGCTTTGAGGCAGTGTCTTGCTGTATAGTCCTGGCTGGTCTAGAACTCACTGTGTAGACCAGACTGCTTTAAACTCACAAAAATCTACCTGCCTCTGCCTCCTGAGTACTGGGATTTTAGGTGTGTACCACAGCACCCACTCATTTTTAAATGTTTTGTATAATTTTATTTCAAATATTTTTATGTTTAAAATAGGGATATTTTAAAAATATTTCGGCATTTGTCTCAATATCATTTAGCTAAGAGTCTTTCCCGCCACCAGAAATTCTGCTTATATTAAGTGTTAAGTTCTTACCCATTTCCAGCTCTATTCTGGGTTTCGTATTGTTCTGTCTGGCGTGTTGGTGTCACATAGTTTGAATTCTTATAGACAGACCTGTGATGTGTGTTAGCAGTCTCTCTCTTGTTTTTTCCAACTTCATGTGTTTATTTGTCTGGATTTACTTTGGAGTCACTTTCCCCAAATGTTCCCAGTCTCTGGAAAATTAATATCACGTCATTTAGGATATTTTCATTAGCTTTCCTAACTGGGGGTGGGTTGGGAGTGGGGTATTGTTTGTCTTGCCTTTTATTCAATTTTTTTAAAAAAAATTCTCAACGGTTACCCATTAGGAAATCATTATTTTAGTAATTTCTACACAAACATGGAATTCTTACTGTTTTAATCTAGTTAACTTGACTTTTCTAAACAGACAGATGTAATTTTTGCAAAAAATCGTCCTGTCTTCCTTCTTGTCACTGAGCCTCTTTTCCTGCTTCTTTCATAATTGACCAGATTTGTATTTCCTGCACGTCATTTTCTACAGCATAGCAAAACAGTGTGGAACACACATAGTTGCTGTGAAGTAAGAACTCTGGGAATACAGTACAGCCTTAGTTGTATAAGGAAGCTACCATGCCTTGGTGAAAACAGCCTTTGTCTGGCTGTGGTGAGATGCTGACATCTAGTGGCTACATCAAAAATGGTAGTTGAATCTCGGGGACTGAAAGGGTCAAGGAAGAACGAATGCTTGGAAAACAAGACTCATCAGTGACATGAGATGGCCTGATGCAGTAAAATATCAGGATGTGGCTTTATCTGGTGTGATAGCCCCAGAGCTTGTGATTGGAGAATAAAGAAGATATGGGCATATAAATAATGCTGTTTCACCCTCCACATGACTTTATCAGTACTTTGCAGAATGGGTGGATTATATGAACAATCAGCCCCTGTTTTTCCCAGATAAGCCCTGCTTTGATGTGGACTTGGTTGAGGATCTTTCAGCAGTATCACATTATGAGATTGGCAGGAACTTAAATGATTTGGGTGGTCTCTTAGGAGGCTAGTTTATCACAAGTTCTTCGATTCTTACATTCAGCATGGGCAAGGGATGCTCCCTGGCTGCTTCTCTTCTGTCACGTATCAACTAGGTACATGCATATCACTTATGTAGTTGGTCATGAGACATCACTACCTGAAAACTACATGCTGTTCCTCTCCTGAGACCTGCTGCCGCCACTTAACGGAAAGACTACTTCCCAGAACAAAAGATAATCCATTCTTCACACTCAAGGCATCTTTCATGGTGGAGACTTTAACTTTCTGAGTGCTTCCTTCTCTGTTCATACATTTTCCTTTCCCTTTCTGCTGAGAAACTTACTGAAGAAGGGGCCAGTTTACTGTTCCCTTGCGTAGCTCAGAAACGCTCACACAACCAATGTTCTAAAGTGGTACAAGCACAGCAGGTTGGGGTAGGAAAGGGTTTCAGCTCATCAGTTAACTATTAGTAATAGTTTAATATGTCATCGCTTCCAAGTAGATGCTTCAGGATATAGTTTTCATTCCTTTATAATGATGGACTCAGTGCTTTCAAGTGTAGGCTCTCTAGACCATATTCATTCATTGTATGTCCTCACAGATGAGATGATCCCGAAAACAGAAAACCAGACTTAGCCAGAGGCCAATACTTTTATTTCTTTACACTTTTGGTACTAGTTTCAAGTAGAAAATATTTTCCTCTATTAATTAAGCCAGTCTTTGTTGATAAAGTATATGCCATTATACTACTACTCTTTCAGAACATTTGTCTCCATCTTCATGTACTAAATACGATGTTTTATTGAGCTATTCCTTTTGTCTGGGTATTATATTCTGTGTTTTATATTCATAGTATAGAGAAGAACTAATGATTTCAATGTGTTTGAAAAACCCATTAATATTTAATTCTAGCTCTCTGGTATAACTATTAGATTTTTAATTCCTTATTTCTTTTCAGGGTTACTTATTGATGAGGAATTGATTTTTATAAATAAGGCAGTGGACGATTATCTACCAACTGTGGATACTATCTTGAGCAGACTGAAGCTCTATCGGGTTAAGGATCCGCTTTTAGATTTCAAAGAACAGCTCCGTGGAAAGGATCAGTTCACGTGTGTAACTGCCTGATATTGCTTTTATACATGAGGTCATTCTCTGTACAGCCACAGATTTAGATGCTGTTGGCAAGGGTTCCATCACTTCATCTCAGCTCACATGTTAAACTTAGTGTGTTTTGATTGGCAATATTTGTTAAATGATTTTAGTAAGCTTTAACTAACTTTGTTTTATTTTTTATTTAAGGGAGTGTTTCTCTGTTCAAGAACGGTTGGAACCTTCTGTAAGAGATTTCCATATGGCTGAGGAGACCTTTTGTAAGAAGAAACTAGTATGTTTCAATAGAATTGTAACATCTGTTTTCTGTAATGTATTTGTAGAAGGAAGGGAATACACCTTTATAAATTTTAGGAATTTATTTTGCGTGTTACAACCTTATACTAAAATTTTTTGATACTAGGTTGAATATGTGTCAATTATGGAGCCAAATTAACTTCCAAATAATGATTCTCAGCCTTAGCTTGAGGTTGAAGTTGGATCTACCCAGTTATATTCTGATTTAATTGGTCTGGTGGGAAGTGCAGGTACAGAGAATTTTCAAACCTCTGTTAGTAATTTTAGTTACTATACTTGGCATAGAAATTTAAGTAGTTAAATTTAAAAGTTATAAACTTAACTATATGGGCATTCTAATTTAAACACACATATCATGTTTTGTGGAAAACAGAATAATTTTATACATTGGGCCTTTTCTTAATCCATTCAGAGGATACACACACACAGTGCATAAGGGCACTTCAAGGGCTTCATTACAGATAGAATGTAATAGGTTTGTTCATTGCCTTACTGACTCCAGCCCCCTCACTTGTTGATTCTAGTGGTGCAGTCTCGCTTGCTGGAGAATATTGTCTTTGGGGTGCAGTAGAAATGAACTCCATTCTATCAGCTATTCAGCTTATGCCATTTTCTATTATTTTCTGTAGTAATTCTTTTTAATTTAGAATATCTAAATATTTTATTAACCAAAAATATAACACACACATAATTAGAGATACTGTGTATTGATAAGGTGTTGGGATTATAGAAAATATTACTCAAGGAAAGAATTGCATGTAAGATGTATTTATTTTTGACTGCTAAACATCTGTATAACATTTAAAATAGAATATTACTTAAGTTTAAATTTTGTGTGACCCTGTTTAAACAAACACATCCATTTAATATATTTATGCGGAACTATCCCTTAAGTTTTTTTAATGTTATATTATTTCAGCCATCAGTTTTCCCTTATGAGTTTGAATTCTTAATATCTACAATCCCCAAACGAGAAATTCCCACTCTGTTACTATCAGAACTGAAGGAATCATTAAACTCAATACCTGAAATAATGGAACATGAAGATGAAAATGAAAAACCTTTCAAAAGAGGTGAGAATTTATTTAGAAAAGTGTTTCATGTAAAAAACTACTACTTGTTATTGAGTTTTTATTTATTGAAATACTTTATAGAGATGTTCTGTAAGTTACATGTTGAAGTATCAGGATCATTACTGTTAGACTCTTTACATATTGATCACATTATTGCTATTTTTCTGGTGTTGGAGTTTGGATCAGGGCCTTCATGTGCTAGACAAGAATTCTGCCGTTGAGTTACATTCCCAACCCTGAGCACCCAACTTAGATTTGTTTATTCTAGACATTCAGTAAAAATACAGCAATGTGTGGTCTTCCTGTGTCTGGCCTCTTTCACGAACCATAATTTTTCAAACTTATATTATAGAATGTATCAGTGCTTCATTGGTTTCTATAGCCAAATAATATCCCATTGTAGAGATGTTTTCTCACAATTTATTTACCTACACATCTTTTGATAGACATTTGAATTGTTTATATTCTTTAGCTATTATAAATAAACTTACTATGAATACTTATGTACATGTTTTTTCTGTATACATATATTGTCTTAGTTAGGGTTTCTATTGCTATGAAGAGACACCATGACCATGGCAACTCTTACAAAGGGAAAACATTTAATTGAGATGACTTATATTTCCAGAGGGTCAGTCCATTATTCATGGTGCAACATGATGGCACCTGAGAGTCCTACATCTTGACTTACAGGCAACAGGAAGTAGTCTATCTCATTGAAAGTAGCTTGAGCATAGGAGACCTTAAAGCCCACCTCCATAATGACACACTTCTTCCAGTAAAGCCACACCTACTAATACAAGACCACACCTTCCACTAGTGCCACTACTTTTTAATTTTTTTCAAACCACTACATTCCATTCCTGGCTCCCAAAGACTTGTATCCATATCATAATGCAACAATATATTCAGTCCAACTTCAGAAGTCCCCATAGTCTATAACATCCTAAACTTAATGATGTCTAAAGTTCAGCTGTTTAAAGCCTCTTCTGAGAGTCACACAATCTCTTAACTCTAATCTGTAAAATAAAATTAAAAGGCAGATCACATACATCCAACCAAAAATGGCACAAGGTATACATTACCATTCTAAAATGTAGGGAAGGGAGCATAGTGAGAAATACTGAACCAGAGCAAGACCAAAAACCAGCTGGGCAAACTCCAGACTCTGCATCTCTATGTCTGATGTCAGAGCAGTCTTCAGATCTCCAATTCCTTTCAGCTTTGTTGACTGCAACATAGTTCTTTCTCTTGAGGCAGGTGCCACTCCCTGATAGCAGCTGTCCTTGGCAGGTATCCCAAGGCTCTAGCATCTCCATCATCTTGATGTCTCCAAGACAATCCAGGCTTCACCTTCACAACTTCATGCAGTAGCCTCTCTAGTTCTTCATTCAGGGACACTCCTGACATATTCCTGACCTCAACAGCTTTCCTTAGTCACAGAGGCAGCAGCCTGATGTAATGGGGCCATTTGATGAAGTGGGTGAGCTTTCTTTGGCACTGCAGGTCCTGTCCAAAACAGGGTCACCACATTTTCAGCTTCTTCATGACAGTGGGGACCAGGACCACCTATATCTTTGACTTTCTTTCCGTAGGGCACTTTGTTTTGGCTGTAGGAGAGGAAAGAAAATTGTCTCCAGTTTTATATTAAGGTGTTTGGTCCATTTTGAGTTGACTTTTATGATAGGTGAGAGAGAGGCCTGGCTTCATTCTTTTGCTTGCGGATATCCAGTTTCCCTAGCACCATTGTTAAAGAGGCTGGGTTTTCGTGGTTGTTGTTTTTAATGTGTTTTAGTGTTTTTGTCAAATGATGAGGTGGCTGAAGTTGTGTAGGTTTACTTCGAACCACGCCCATCTCCCTAAGTCCCTGTCTCTTCCACCAGCTGACAGGTTATACACGTGCACTTCCTTTCTTCTTTTTTTTTTTTTCCAGAAGAGGAGTGTATCTGGGGAAAAGGGAAGGTCTGGGATGGGACTGGGAGGAGTGGAGGAACATTATAAAGAAAACCCTATGATTTAGGAGGAAACAATGCCATGCTAATGCAATTATGATTTCTATTCTGGCAGAATACAAGCTCTTTAGAAGCCAGGGTAGAGAAGAAAATTCCTGTGCATGGTGTTACATATGGCTGAGGCAGGAGGATTATGAGGTTTAGCCCAGCCTGGGCTAAGTAATTAAACCCTGCCTCAAAGTTAAAGGGACGGAGGTAGGGGAAAAGAGAAAAAATGTGTTATGGTCAAACTATATCCTATCCCTAGATTCTTATTAGCAGTATAAGTTAAGATGAACATGGCAACATCATATGGCTGCGTATTCATGAGGCATTGCAAAAGAGACCTGAGAGCATCTTCAGAACTCATATTATAAAATAAAGAGAAGAATTGTTCATTGCCATTTTTCAAAATGAGCATTAATAAAGTTGAAAGACACAATAAAGCAAACAGATAAGCTGTAAAGTGGAGAACCGAAGGGGTAAAGTCCTTTCATCTTATATTGTCAAACTTTGATGTTTGCTTTAAGGCTTGATTTAAATAATTTGTTTTGGGTTAAATTTGCAAATTTCGAAATACATGATAAAGTAGTAAAAAGTGATATTTGAAATGTAAAACAAAATAAAGTTAGCTGTATTTTCCCTCTGTGATTTTTATTTAAATTCTGCTATGTCCTGCTAGTGAGAGTGTTGTTTATTTCACACTAACTTGTCAGCTTGGCTCGAAAACTGCAGACTTTTTCACCCCTAGAGCAGCGATAAGTTGAAGTCTTTAAGTATTCTTTGGGCCTTAACTGATCTTCCTGGATACCACTTGAAGCCTGCAGTTCAGGAGTCAGAGAATACTTATGTTGAGTTGGGGACTTCTCTGTTGCTCTTTCCTTTCCTAACTTCTTTGTTAACCCGGAACTCTAGTGCAGATAGATCTGTCTTCAAATCTTTCAAGACAATGAGACTACATATTTTTATCCAAGTTCTGGTTGTCCCAGTCAGCACCCAGTAAAAAGCTGTAACTTGGCAAAGTACCTCGGGGCCAGTTTACCGCCAGTTCTCCTAGGGCCTTCTCCTGACAGTCATTTCTTTTATATTTTCTAATTCTAAGATCATAAAATATGCAGGCGGGAAAAGCCTAAATGTACATACCAATATAAGATGACTAATAATTTCATTAAAAAAAACAGGAAAATCTGTGTTGCACTCAAGGAATTAATGTGTATAGTGTTTATAAGAGTTGTGTGCTACAAAGAAAGAAAGGATGACGTTAAAAATGAGGAACAGGCCTAGGAGAGGGCTACGTCAGTAAGGTGCTTGACACACAGACACAAAGACCTGAGTTTGCTCCTCAGCACCCACTCAAAGCCAAACGATTATACATGCCTGTGACTCCAGCACCCAGAAGACTGAAACAGGAGGAGCCCTGGGACTTGCTGGCCAGTCTAGCAAATCAAACCAGCGAGCTCCGGGTTCAGTGAGAGACTGTGTCTGAAAAAAATGTGGAAAGTGACTGAGGAAGATACCCAACATCAACCTCTAGCTTCCACATGCACGTAGTGCAGGTGCGCATGCATACTCACACACACACACACACACACACATGCGTGCGCACACACACAAATATGTAACATAATAACAATAATAAAGTACTAGGCACAGTATGCCAGTCACCTGGGACTAACTAGTCAATAACACAGACCAGTGCCTGTAGGTGTGGTTCAGTGGCAGAGTGCCCAGCATACCCAAGGCTTGGTTTTAACCTCCAGAACCACAAGTAGAATTCAGGCTTAATAGAGCTTAGAAAGTCGCCATTTATGGGTGAAGATTAGGTTTTTCAAAGTGTTTGTTTTCTTTGATGCTCATGACATACAGGATTACCTGTCCTATTTTAGCTTCCAATCACTGTGCTGATTTTTGCGTTTTTATATTCCTTTGGTGATTTTAATTGATATATGAGGAGTGAGAAGGAGCGTGCATTGGAGAATTTATTTATTATGTCAGCATTTCCTTCAGAGTATCCAGTTCTCTCTAAAAGAAAAAAAGTCTACAGTAAAGCGGTAAGGATAAGGAAGATGCCAGAGAATAGCATTTCAATGGTAGGTGCTTTTGTTGATAAGTTTCTTCTATTTCAGATTTTTCTACCAAGCATGAGTCTGATGCTCAGGATATGGAATGCAGCTCCACAGAGATCTTACCCACTGAAAGCCCATCTGAACCGGAGGGCAGCGAAGCTGGTAGAGATTTTACCTAAGTCATTTTGCTGTGATGGAGAACACTAAACTCACACTTGTAGTCTGCTGTGGATCGGTTTTCCTGTTCAGGAGCTTGGGCATCTTTCCCTTTTCCTGCTCCTTCTTATTTGTCCTTTCAGGATCTCATCACCAGCAGAAGGGGGTCACATACACAGCAGAGTCACAAATATTGGGGAAGATGAACAGAGGAAATACGACCAAAAGTGCAAATCTTGGGGCTTGGGAGGTGGCTTAGTCAGTAAAGAGTTTGCCACACAAGCGTGAGTACCCGAGTGCAGTCCCCAGCAGCCGGGCTAGCTGAGTTGGCACACCACCGGTTCAGTGAGAGACTCCATACCAAAACGGTGTGGCAGAGAGTGGCTGAGACACCCAGCACACAGTGCATTCATGTGTACTCCCACCCACACGTAACTGTAAATTACATCCCACTAAATATTACTTTATGTATGTACCTGAGTGTATATATGTGTGCCGTGTGCATGCAGGCGCCATCTGAGGCCAAAAGAGGGCATCAGATGCCCCGAAACTGTAGTCACAGGTGTGGCTGCGGAGCCTCAAACCTGGGCTCTAGGAACTACTGAGCCACTACTTCAGCCCCAAAACTTTATATTTTGCTTCAGTATTAGAAATCTTGTTGATTTTTGTTACACTTACAAACAAACCCTTTAAATTACATACTATCTAGTGAGTGGGGTGGTGCGTGGTGCGTGTGGGAGTCAGTCCCCTTCCACCGTTGCGTTCCTGGGCTTGGACTTGGTCCTCAGGCCTGGTGGCAAGCGCCTGTACAGGCTAAGCCATCGTGCTCACCTGTGACACGTCAAAGGAGGACTTTTTAATCCCTGAGAGCAGTCACATCATTCCCTGCTCTGTCACTCTTTTATCAAACTTGGAAACTCGGCGTCAGGTTTTGTTCCAGATAAAGCCAAATTGTGTTCTTTTGAAGCTATTTTGATGAGACTGTTAGTTACATTTACACTTGGAGCACATGAGTATCTGTTTGGGTGTTTATTGCTTTATACTATACTACTTTTCAATAAAGGCGGGTTCTATTAATTCATAACTCTGACATGGACACCTAGAGTCCTGACTCATTAAGGTGAAGAATTACTCCTCTATTTCTGTAACATCACCAAAATTGACTGTGGAAATAAAACAATACTATCGCCTATGTGCTGACAACATGAGCTGTCAGAATAAAAACTCTTCTCATACACAAGCTCCTAGATTTAACTTACGCGGAAAACTCAGTAAAGCTCAGCTGTCATTGTGGCTTTCTAAAGTCAACTAGTTGTAATTGAGATACCAGGTGATAAATCTGCAGTTCCTTATATAGACAATAAATTTAGGGCTGTTATTTTGTATCTCTAGGAATCTAAGTTTCTTGTATTGTGTGTGTGTGTGTGTGTGTGTGTGTGTGTGTGTGTGTGTAAGCCAGAGGTCAACCTCGGGTGTCAGTCCTCAGGAACCATCCACTTTGTCTTTTGAGATAGGATCTGTCACTGGGACTTTAGGGATAGGCTAGGATTTCCAGTGCATTCCGTCATGTCCAGCTGTTGGCAGGCATGGGTGCTGGGATTGAACTAAGGCTCTGACGCTTTACCAGCTTAGCTATCTCGCTAGCCCTACCCCCAGATTTCTCTTGCTGACATACTTTGTTGCCGCAGCAAAAACTGTATGAGCAGCACAAACTGAAGTTGATGGCTAAAAACAGTAATAGGACACAAAGTTGGATTGGAGGTCTAGCTCTAGGAGGGCCTGAGGAAGAGAGGTGAATATAGTAATATGTTCTAGTAGAATATACACTGTACTCAGTTCCCAAAGAAATAATACAGGTATTTCATTGCAACAAATTGATCAAACCAAATTTTATCTTATACAGTATTATATAACTTTAATTCTTATATATTTCAGGAGAATTGGAAATGCCACTAACCCATCTAAGCTTACCAAGGCAACATTCTCCAGTGAGTTCACTATGGGCAGGATTTCAGACATTTCCATTTTCTGCTGTGTGCAAAATGTAAGTAAAGATTTTATCCAGAGCCCAAGCCACAGTGCAAGACAGGCAATTGCTTTTTTACTTTATTTTGTTTTTGTTTCTCCAGTCAGGGTTTCTCTGTGTAGTCCTGGCTGTCTTGGATCCCAATCTGTAGACCAGACTGGTCTCAGCTTACAGAGATCTGCCTGTCTCTGCCTCCCAAGTGCTGGAATTAAAGGTGTGACCACCACTGCCCAGCTCAAGATAAGCAGTTTTTAATGAAATCTCTCCATTTAAAGTCACTTCCAAGATGCTGTTATGAAAAGATATGACACTGTATGTGTATTATAAGCAGTGGGGGGAACGATATGAATATATATGCACACATCTGTTTTTTCCCAGAGAATATTGTTAGATGATGACCTAAGAAACACATGAGACTGACTTTGCCTAGAAGGAAACTAGGTAATATGACAATATGATAGGATATTTTTCACAATATAATCTTTTATAATATTTTTTAGAATTTTGAATGTTAATGTATTAATATTAAAAGTAAATAACCTGAAAGTTTAAATCCTTCCATGGGAATAGAACGACTAGGAAATTGCCTCTGAACACTTGCCAGTGACACACACTGCCATGAGAAAAAGGTATTTCATAACAAATACCATATGTCCTATTCCCTCATAGTCCTGGAGGCTGCTATTTTCTGGGTTGGTTTTGGTCATGTGGTAATGTCTTCATTTACCTAGTTACCGCTTTATTAAAAGACCTCATCTCCAAACGCAGTCATAGTCTGATATTCCGAGGATTAAGGTTTCACCGTATGACTTTGGAGAATCACAGTGAACTGTAGAATAAGTGGTTTGAACCTCTGTATTATAGTTAAATTGCCTGACCCATCACTTGCTCTTAATAGCTCTTTGCCTCGGTCTCTTTCTCTGTAGACTTGTTACAGTCTTCTAAAAGATGATACATCTGATCTGCGGCAGGAGTACGTACGGTTATAGAATGGTGTCTGTCCACTGATTTCCCATAGGAGTACCAGGGAATCCTATCCCATTTCCATCAGCATCTGTCCTTTGCCCTGCTTACCTCTGCTGTTATGACGTCAGTATTGAGAATACCAGATACATAGAACCCCGGGTTGATCGATAAACCTGTTCAGCACCCCATTGTAATTGCACATCATGGTCTGTGGTCTTAAAGAATTGATACTGCAAAGCTAAATTATCATATTCTACTTGGACCCCAAATTGTGTATCTCAGTATCGCAGCAAACATGACTTGGACAGAGTCTGAGGTAGCTTTGGATGCTGTCTTTTGTTTTGTGGCATACATAAATTTCGTGTTCTCCAGGGTAAGTTAGTTTATATTCTGGAATAAAACCACTCGACTTCTTGTTCAGGTCACAAAACTGGGAATATAAACAGGACAGTCATCTTCATTCCCATTGTAAACTGGAGCTTAACGTATCATAAATCCAGCTCCTCCAGGAGAATTACAGGAACACCTGCAGGTTTCTTGTGAATAATTCCTAGGATGGCTGGAAGCAGTTGCAGCAAAGGTCCTAGCACTCATCACGAGTTCTGTACGCTTCTTTACTGGTCTGTATGGTGCCTGACTGAGACATGGAGGAGCCAGCCTTGAGCCTTGAGTGCCCTACGTATGTCTTCACATTATGTCTAGGGATTATTTGCACTTGTGGTGCAACTGTGCTGTATAGACCTCTGCCGTGAGCTCGGCTTGTCTGTAGGCTGAGTGAGCTCTGGAACAGCATGGCGTTATCATGCAATCACATATATAAACAAATATAAAAGTATTTGTTTAATACTTTAGTCCCTCTGCCAAGGTAAAAGGTGTTCATTTGCAGGACACAGTTAATCTTTATTAAGTTCTTTGTCTTATTTATTCTGTATATTCCAATCTGTCTGAGGCAGGTTGGCAGTCAGAAACAGAAACCAGTATATATTAGTATAATCTTAAATTTCAGTTAACGTTCTAATATTATATAATAGCTATAATAAATCTTTCATTACACAGGCTATTTTCTATGTATTGTTAGAACTCGAATACCTAGTGAGATGTATAAGACAAGTCTTGCCTGATGAATCTGGCAAAGTTAGAACAAAAAATGGCTTTTAAAACAGTTAATGATTCTATAGAGTTATTTGAAACAATTGACAGTTACTCATCACAGCAAGAGAAAAGCTGCTTCCTCCTGGTTTAAACCTTTAAATTTTCATTTAAAAAGGCATAAATCCAGTTGTAGGGATTATTCTTATAATCCCAGTGTTTAGGGGCCTGAGCAGTAAGGTCATGATTTCAGACCATGTACTGATTACCTGTATTTTAAAAAGTACCTCAATTATAAAGCTTAAAAAAAAAAGTTAAAAAAAAATTTTTAACTGGCTGCCACTATTAACCTTTATTTTTTATTGTTTATTTAATATATACAGTGTTCTGTCTGCATTTCTGCCTGCAATCCAGAAACGGGCACCAGACTTCATTATAGATTGTTGTGAGCCACCATGTGGTTGCTGGGAATTGAACTCAGGACCTCTGGAATAACAGTCAATGTTGTTAGCCCTCTGAGCCATCTTCCCAGCTCAACTTCTGAGTGGGCATTGACTGTGGATAGAGTTGAAATTACTTTTTTTTTCTTTTTTTTTTTTTTGGTTTTTTGTTTATTTGTTTGTTTGTTTTTGAGACAGAGTTTCTCTGTAGCTTTAGAGCCAGTCCTGGAGCTAGCTCTTGTAGACCAGGCTAGCCTCAAACTCACAGAGATCTGCCTGCCTCTGCCTCCCTAGTGTTGCGATTAAAGGCGTGCACCACCACTACCCAGCTAAAATAATTTTAAGTGAAATACTGAGTAGTACTTTTGGCTTAGTTGTAGTACCAACTACATGTAAGACCCACGTTAGATTTTAGAGAGATAAAAAGCAAAGTCGGGATGAAAGAAGGTTGCATTTCCTTACTAACTGACATGGGAAACACATCTTCAAAATGCTTTATTAAAGGCAAAAATACTTGCTTTTCTCGGGCATGGCTGTCTGAAGCATTTCTTCCTATTTCCACTTCAGGATAAGTAGCTATAATCTGAAGTGTATTATCAAAAAAAAAAAAGCCTTGGTAAATTTCAAGAATTGTCCCAATTCTCATTTTGTATCAAATAACACATATATTTTTGGCTTGTGTGGGTGAATCGTGTGGTTTAGATCTAAAAATATCACTTTCAGTTATCCCACATTGTCAATGCAGTATCTAGAAATACTTAGCCATTACCACCCTCTTTGCGTTCTATATGAACTGAGGAACAGAACCTAATCAAGTCTCCATTTCACTGGAGAGGGGAGGTTTGGGAATCAGGGCTTAGGGCCCAGGCTTCATAGTGAGCCGTGGTTGACATTAACTCTCATACACATTTCCTCCTTTCCCCTCTGCACTCCAAAACTATCACACAGGTTTTACACATCACCCCAATACCTACCAAAATTTAGGAGCTTGATCTAAATTTAGAGCCTTGTCACTTCTGGGGAAAGTACGGTCAATAGGATTTTTGTGTAGTTCTGGTTCTTAACAACAGAGAGCCTAGAATTTCTATATATAATGGACTCAAGAATAGAAGCTTACATAAAAATAATATTAACCAGGTGGTGGTCGTGCACATCTTTAGTCCCGGCACTCAAGAGGCAGAGGCAGGCAGATCTCTGTGAGTTTGAGGCCAAACTGGTCTACAGAGTGAGTACCAGGACAGTCAGGCTACATAGAGAAAACCTGCCTCAAAAATCCAAATATATATACATACATGTTTGCTATAATTGCTCTGTGAGTATTAAACAGAGTCATCTTACAATCAACACTGAAGGAGATAAAAGTGATCGTAATGGTTACTCTTCCTGCTAACTAGATGTAGAATCACCTCGGAGACAGATGAAGCACACGCATGGGTGTGACTGAGGACGTGGTCAGAGTGCAGTAACTGAGTGGGAGGAAGGCTCACCTTGAATATAGATGGTGCCACCAAGGGCTTGGGCTCCTGACACAGCAAGAGGGGGAAAGAAGAGAGCAAAAAAGTACCAGAAAGTGCCTCTGCTTTCTGGTCATGAAGTGAGCAGCTGTCTTCTGCTCAGTGCTCCTGCCGCCATGATGTTTACCCAAGCTCATGGGACTAAGCTTAGGCTGAAGCCTCTGAGGCCATGAGCCAGGTTATACTGTTCACCCTTACTCTATTTCTATTCAGCATTTTGTTACAGTGATAGAGAAAATACCCAGTGTCAACTTCACACCTAGACATACCACTTTAAACCACATGTTCCATTCCTTGTCCCCCAAAGGCTCTTGTCCAAATGCATTCAATCTGTCCTTTATGAAACCCAGAAGGAAACACAAAGTCCTGCAATTTTATGCCCAGCCTCTGAAGCATGGAGCATTCTGATGTGTGCTCCAAGGGGCTTGGACAGCCTGACCTGCGAAACAATGCCGTTTGCAGCTCACACGACCCTATCTTTATTAATTAGGATTTCTATTACTGAGATGAGACATCATGACCAAAAGCATCCCGGGAGGCTTACACTTCACTTTACCATCCGTCATAGAAAGCAGTCGGGACAGGAACCCAAACAGGGCACGGCAGGAACGTGGGAGCAGGAGCAGAGGTCATGAGGGTGCTGCCCACTGGCTTGCTCATGGCTTGCTCAGACTGCTTTCTTATAGAACCTTGGACAACCAGTCCAGAGATAGCACCACCCAATTGATTGACAATTGGGATTCTATTTATAAGTACTTTTATGGAGGTGAGTATGTTGTTTGTGAGTGATTTTTATCTGTGAGTTGGCTTCTCCCCCATCAATCACAAATTAAGAAAATGCCCATCTTCACACTGATCTTATGAGGTATTTTCTTAACTGAGGTTACTCCTCTCTGATGACTTGAGCTTGTGTCAGGTTGTCAGATTAGCCAGGACACTCCCTCTTGGGCTTACTCCACTCATTGCCTCCAGTTATCCTCAGCAGAGGCTCCACATGCCCTGAGGTCTTCACTACTTCTTCAGCTTCACTAATAGCTTCATAAAGCTACTTGGAGGCTGACTGCAAGAAATCCAACCCTGTTTGTTACAGTACCTGGCTTCCAGGTCTTCTTTTTAGAATGTGCCCGAAGCGTACATGACCCCATAGCGTTTCTATTCTGTATGCCTGAAAATCCAGCATCATATAGCTGATGCCGGGGGTCTGCTGCCAGTTAAAGCAGTAGTCAGGCCTCCTCAGACCATGGCTAGAGTAGTGCCTGAGTAACTAGGCACTTAACACTAAGGGAGCCATTTCCCTGATGGCCCTGTTGGAGCAAGGTGCCTCATCTCTTCTCAAATGAGTTTTACACCTTAGAGCCTGTGATGTCTGGCATTCGTCTAATACCTGAGATGTTGAGAGGATCGTGCTTATAGCTCCTATGAGTGCCTAGCTTCTCTATAGTGGCACTGATCTCTCTAACAGCCCCCACTTCATTATCTAGAAATTTATACCAACCCTTTTCTAGCCATATTGCATGTTTTTTGCATCTTCTCGCTCTACGTTTTTATCCCAACTAGTAGTTATCAGTAATCAATTTCTGCATTATTTATGTTTGTCCTCACTACGTCCAAATATCTGTCAGAAACGGTTTAAATGAGGAAGGACTTACCTTGGTTCATGATTTCAGAGGGTTTAATCCATAGTTGCTTGGCCCCATGTTCTTGGGCAACACATCGTTATAGAGGTACGGGCATATGACAGGCAATAACTGTTCACCTCGTGGCTGACAGAGAAACAGAAATAGGAAATGTATTGCTCGTTTGCTTTCTCCTTCCCTCCTTTTATCCTGCCATGGATTCCCAGCCATGGACGGTACCACCCAGCCAGCCCTTGGCTCACGGAATGCCTTCACAGATACACCCTTGAGGTGCCTCACCCCTCAATCTCTGAGGTGGCTCTGAATCCAGTCACATTACCGATGAAGACCTAGTTCCGGGACAGGCAGCAAAGCTACAGAGAAACCCTGTCTCGAAAAACCAAAATAAATAAAATAAAATTGTTATATAAAACAGCTAATACTATTGATGAATTAAACTTTGACTCTTCTTTTACAGTGATTTGCTTAGTGCTGGAGAATCAGCTAATAAATACTGTATGCTGTGGCCCTTGGGAAGCTGCAGGAACTCTTGGGTCTCATTCATGCTTACAGGTACAGAGTGCTTGCTACTGAATGGCAGCTACAATGCATAGGCAGAGGCATGCAGATAGCATAAGTGTGACGTAGTTTTCTTTGACTTCCGTAACACGGAAGCCAACTATCTTTTAGACACTCAGAAAAACAAGGCCTCAATCTGGCTGGCTTTCTCATGGTCCTTATTTATGAAATAAAAGAAACCAGATAATCTAACACATATTTATGTGTATGTGTAAAGAATTTGTATTTTTGAGTCTGTAAATTGGTTGCAAAAGATATTCTACATAGCTAATGTTAAAAGTAATGTTAAAGTTTTCCATTTTTCAAGCATTCCAAGAAGGATGGTTTAAAACCTTTAACAAAAGTTTTTAATGTAATAAAATAATTCTGAGTTGAATAATCCCCTCCAAGGCTATCTCTTTATACAATGAGAATAACAATGATGGTGGTGTCTGTTTTTTAAAACCATGGTTTTATATAAAGACGAATGCAGATGCTCACAGCAGCCTTAGTAAAAGTAGAAACCTGGAAACAGGGCTGGGCTATAGCTCAGTGATCCATGAACGGGTAGTAATACCCAAGGCTCTGGGTTTAATCCTCAGAACTGAAAAATTCCCCACCAGGAAACATTTCATGTGTCCATTGAATAAAGGAATGGATTGGCAAATTGTGGCATACATATAAAATGAAATATTACCAACTAATCCAAAGAAATGACCAGTGAGTACCAGGGACTAGCAATGACAGGAGGGTAATGCAGGAGAGAGGAGGATGTGGGTACGTGAAGGCTGTGCTGTTGAACTGTTAAGTGTGTTGAGTGTGATGAGAGATGCACAAATCCACATAGGTGGTAAAACTGCATAGAACTGGTTGCATAGATACACACACGCATGCATGCACACACACACACACACACACACACACGGGCGGGGTGTAATAGAAAATACTAAGACAATATGAACAAGATTGATGGGCTGCTAAAGTGCCATTCTCCTAGTTGTGCCATTGTATGCAAGTGTAGTGTGTAATTGTAGGAAATAGGAGAGGAAACATCTCTGCATTATTTCTTACAGTTCCATTGGATCTATAATTATTTTATCTTTTAAAAAGGATAAACTGTTCACACAATATACACGATTCTCAAAGTAATTATGCTGAATTAAAGAAACCAGACCAAAAAGAATTCATCCAGAGTCAGTTCATTTACATAAACTTCTGGAAAAATGCAGTGGCTGAAAAGACACGAGAAAATGTTGGAGGACTGAATTCAGGGGTTCACACACGCGAGGCAAACACTCTAAGCACTGAGGCACATCCCCAGCCCTAAGACATTTTATTCAGTCTTTGCGATAGCAAGAAGTTAAAATAGCCAGGCGTGGTGGCACATACCTTTAATTCCTGCAACAAGGCAGAGACAGGCAGATCTCTCTGAGGTCAAGGCCAGCCTGGTCTACGCAGTAAGTTTAAGGAGGAAGAAGAAGAAACTGTATGATTTCTATTGTTTATCAAACTTGGACTTGTACAAATATTATCATTTTGAAAACAAAGTACAGATATAGCCTCAAATTTCACCGTTTCCCAATGTGTGAAAATGTATTTCATTGGGAATGTCCAATATGAATCTTTTTATTATTTTTCATTTATTTTTCCCTGTGTTTGTTTTCAAGTTCCAAGATTTGAAGAGCCCAGCAGTCAATATTCTCTTGCAGATATGAGGAATATCTTTTCTATCAAAGGAGACAGCCTTGTGATTAACCCTGCAAAAACAAAGGGTTGGAGACAAGCAAGACGAAATCCAATAATGGCCGAAACTTTGGAGCATCTGAAGGCATATTTGTGTCACAGTGGTCTGTCTTCTAAGGAGGCTAAGCTGGAGATCTTTCTGCCTACAAAAGTGCTTCAGCTGGAGCGTAAGCACAGAATAGCACATACACTTGTGACCATTTCATAATGAGACAATGGTTACGATGCTTCAGTTCTGCCAGCTGATGAGTTTTGGCCTTCCTGGGCCCTGATGTCTGCTCAGAAAAATATGGCAGTTTAACTAGCTAATCCTAAATTCCTATTTTGCCTAAATGCTTCTGTCTAGCCATTTCTCTCTTCCTTCCTTCCTTCCTTCCTTCCTTCCTTCCTTCCTTCCTTCCTTCCTTCCTTCCTTCCTTCCTTTCTTTCTTTTTGACAAAGTTCTTCTGTGTGTCCCTGACTATCCTGGAATTCACTCTGTGGACCAGACTGGCCTTGAACTCAGAGATCCGCCTGCCTCTGCCTCCTGAGTGCTGGAACTAAAGGTGTATACCAACACTCCTGGCTTTGTGCCTAGATTCTTCAAGTCAACGCAGCACTGTGAGATTTGCCCATGCCATGTGTAGCACTAATTCATTTATTTTATTGATAAACAACTTTCTTATTATATGTACTTAACCAGAGTGCGATCATCTCCCCAGGATTTATTCCCCAATTTTTTAGTGTTGAGAATAAAATGCCTATGAGTGTTTTGTGCAGCAGTTCTTATGGGCATGGTGTGGTTTTTCTTGAGAGAATATACAAAAATAAAATTGCTTATTGTTATTTTAGGTGTTAGAGGTATTTGTTTAATTTCACAAGAACTACTAAATTGTTTTTTAAAGTGATTTCACCACTGTATATGCCTACCAATAATGTGTGAATTTCAGTTATATGGAAGCAGCTTTTCTAATGGACATGTGTAATGTGCCATTGTGGCTTTATTCTGTGTTTCCCTAATGCCTAATAGTGATGAGTATCTTCACATGCTCAGTGACCAGATTTACTGTGACAGAATTTACCATATGGTTTAAAGTACAAGTGGGTCTTCATAAAGTCAGATGTATACAGTCACCGCCACAGACTGTTTTCAGGTCACGCATCAACCCCTCCCCCAAGTCCATAGCCATTCGCACTTCCTCCCTATTTCACCCAGCTTGGCGTGACTGCTGAGCTCTGTCGGGAGATGCCTCTCTGAGACAGTCCATATAAATAAAACTGCCAAATACTGGTCTGTTGTGGCCGGGCATAGTTTATTTAACATCATGATTCATCTATATTGTAGGGTGTGTGTAATGCTCAAATTTTTGCCAACTTTTTATTTAGGTTTCTTTTAAAATGTTCATTCATAAGAATTAAAAAAATGCATTTTGGATTCAGCCTTTGTCCAAGGCTGTGGCTCATTATAACCTATTAGCAACAGCTTGACTGGAGTTTTTTCTTTGCCTAACAATTAAACTCCTAATATGAAGAGATGGTTGCCAGGCAGTGGTGGGGCACGCTTTTAATTCCAGACTCAGGATGCAGACACAGGTGGATCTCTGTGAGTTTGAGGCCAGCCTGGTCTATACAATGAGTTCCAGGACAGCCAGACAGGGCAACACAAAGAAACCCTATCTCAGAAAAGAAAGAAAAAGATGAAAAGTTTTTATGCATTTTATTTAGAAGCAAAGATGTATTTTCTAAACAATAAACAAGTAATCCCTAAAGGTCAAGTTATGTTAATAGGAAACTCTAACTAAAAGTTACTTATTTAAGCATAGAAATCATTTTGGTGTCTTTCGTCTTCTCGTTTCCAGCCTGGCTAGAACAGCAGAGTTGCCCCTTGCCCGTCATGCCTGTGAGTGAGAAGTCTGCTGGTGTCCGCAGATTACATCCTCAGAAGAGACCGTCTCCTGAGAACAAAGTGCTGCATCAGATGCAGTCTGAGGAATGCGTCTCTGCTAAAAAAACAAAAAAGGAAGAAAATCCCAAGAGTGACCAAGAGCTAGTGGCTGGAACAGTGCAGAAGACAGACAACAGTCGTGTTGGACTTGCTGACTCTGGGCCCTCTGTTGAGTCAGCTTCCTCTTCACAGATCAAGGCATCTTACTATAAAAAGCAGCAGGACTTGGATCTTTTGAGCGAGTTCATTACTCTGAGAAGTAAATACAAGCCTTTCACTTCAGATGCTGAAGCCACAGACCATGACCAAAACAGTGGTGGGTAACTCAGTACAATTTTGGCATAGACACGTAGCCTCTAGGACTAGGCACTGTCTGTTATACAATGCAAGAAAATAAAAACTCTTCTAGAGAAATTGTATAGTTTTTCAAAGACAAGGGAAATGCCATTGACACTCCTTATAAATAGAGATTGATACCTAAATATAGACTTAGATATGGCTATAAATATGCTTTCAAAGATTAAAAGGCATGTTTTAATTTGCCACAAAGCTATGAATTAAAACTTGCTTTGTATAACTTGGGTATATAAGCTTAGTATTCCTAACTTGATCATGCTCTCATGCTTTTTTTCTATTAACTTACAACCCTTTGTCAGTATTTTTAAAGATAGTTTTATTAATTCTTAGAGAATTTCAAACGTTTTCTTTTTAACATTACCATTTCTTCCATCCCCATCTCCAGCCATATCCACCCTCCGTTTCATACCCATCCAACTTTCTGTCCTCATTTTGAAAAGGTTTCTTTATTTTATTTTCTCTTATGTATGTGGGTGTTTTGCTTGCAAGTATGCATTGCACTGCATGTGTGTGTGGTGCCCATGGGAGCTAGAAGAGGATGTTGGATCCCCTGGAACTGGAGTTAGAAACAGTTTTGAGCTGCCATTTGCATGCTGGCAACTGAACCTGGGTTAGCTCTGCAAGAGCCGTAAGTGCTCTTAATCTCTGAGCCACCTCTCCAGACCCATCGAGTCCCCTTAGTGCTACCTGTGGGTAACATTAGTATTTAGTTAAATAGCTGTATGTACAGATATGAATCCTCTATAACACCTAAAAAAAGAAAAAGCCTAGCATTTACTAAACACTGTATCAGGTACTGAGCTGCATATTAAAGGAGGGGTGGTTTTTTTTTGCCTGGAAGTAAGGTAGGCAGCTCTGGAAGACTTGGTGTGGACGATGGCAGAGCTGAAAGGTCAGCAGTGGAAAACTGGTGTGCATGAGAGAGGAGAGAGATGTTAGGCTTGAAACAAAGAGACGGCTAAAGTAGAGAGACAGAGTGAGCTGGAGTGCTGCCATCCTGTCTGTCAGGAACTGGACGGTGTTTGGCCCCTGTACCGAAGGTAGGCATTCTAGCCTGTATTTACATATGAGGACACCCAGGCTGCTGTCAGGACTGGATTTGAGCTCTGGCCAGATGCCAAAGCTTTCCCACTTCCATCATCCACCTCACTACTCAGCACGGTGGCAGGGTCACTATCTGCTTAGACTCCATGAAGAAATTTAGCAACTATGATACTGAACACTGTGTTAAACTAAGGCAACATAATTTATCCTGAATAATTTAATGTTTTTGTTAGAATTTCAAGATAAAGAAAAGTGTTCTTTAACTCTTCAAGAAGAAAGTCCCGTTGTTTCTAATAACAGAGCTGCAGAGGAAAGAAGTCAAGAGAGAGCAGATGATGTCATTGAGATTCAAGCATCAGGTATGCAGCCTGCTTTCAGGATTGTTCTAGTTCGCTTGTTTTGGAAACTTCCAAAACAAGATTTGTAGAATATACCTTATTCTCCATGTAATTGTCTTTATTTGTTTCAGAAACTTAATTCTGTTTCTACTTCCAAGTTACTTCCAGACATGGATGCCTGTCCACTGCCTGTCTTTCTCCCATCGTCGTACTCCAGCCCACTAACTGCAGTTTCTTCCTTCACTGAAACTGGACCACTTCCTGCAGTCATGTAAGAAGACCAAACTGCAGGAGTCCTCACTCTCTTCTTCCATGTTCGGGAAATGAGCTATTAATGATCTATTTTCTCACCCATTGTCAGGGATGTAGGTGGTTATCAGAAACAGCACTGCGTCCTTTCCACAGACACTAATTTCGGTGCTGTTATTTTTCAGACACCCAGTGCCAAGCATACTGCCTCCTAGAAGCAGCAGCGACTCCTGTCTTGAAGAAGCTTGTTTGCCTCTGCACTTACCCTGCTGCTAATTGGAAATTTGCCACTGTCATTTTTGACCAAACAAGATTCTTCTTAAAGGAACAAGAAAAACTAGTAAATGATGCTGTTCACCAAGGTGAGCGCAAATCAGATTCAGACCACCTGGATGAATTTATAGACAACTGTAGCTGCAGACTTCAGACCTGAACGAGACCGTGACTGTAATTTAGCATGTAGTACAAGATTCTCAGTGGATCTCCTAGTTGATATGTATTACTTAATAGATCTCCATTGCAAAAAGGGAAGTTAACACCGTAAACATTCACATTGGAACTAGTACGTGGACCTGCTCAGACCATGCCCAAAGAAAATTGCAAAAACAAAATCCAAAGGATAAAATTATTTCCAGTGATTTTAACTGTGTCCCATAATGAAACACAAGATTTATATATGAAATATATAAATATACATTTCTTATAATAAAAATTGTTTGCCAGTAGGGGATGAGCTGGGTGGTTATCTGTCTGGGCTCAGTGCTATCTTGAGCATCACTTATCCTCACTAAATCTGTGCCCTCATCTGAAATGAGGCTCACAGTAGTCCTGATAGGATTATTAGAGAGTCAATGAACTAACCTGCTTATGCACGGCCTAACAACAGTAAGCACTTGCTAATAGATAATAGCTGTTATTATTAAGCAGATTGATACATATTCTAAAACTCTAATGTGTTAACTATGCTTTTGCTTATATAGGTGAAAATGCTGACAGAGAAATAACATTCAGGCATGCTGCCCTCTTACATCTCCTGGTGACAATGAGAGATGTCCTTTTAACATGCAGCTTGGATACAGCATTAGGTTGGTAGAGAATTTTTTATTTTTACTTTCTTCTTGTTGGATAATCTATCTGAAATAATTTACTTTTCTGAAAAAGATATACTTCTTGAAAAATTATGTCACCTTCTCACCTATCACACTGATCAACATTTTGTCATAATTATTAATGGGATATATACACATATATGGTGTATATTATATACATTTCAGTGCTAAGGATCAAACTCAGGGCCCCTTAATACTTTAATACTAAATAAGTCTACCACTAGCAAGACTCTCAGCCCAAACTGTACTATTACAATGCTGCTTGGACTATTAGCTCATGCTTCTTATTGGCTAGCTCTTACATCTTAAATCAACCCATTCCTATTATTTTATATTTTACCACGAGGCTTGTGGTTTACCTGTATTGGCATGAAGGCATCTTTCTCCTCTGGTGGCTACATGGTGTCTCATTGACTTGGCCTACACTCTCCTCCTCTATCTGCTTGGAATTCCCACCTTACCCTATTCTGCACTGCAATAAGCCCAAAGTAGTTTCTTTATTAACCAATGGTATTCACAGATACAGAGGGAAATCCCATGTCAGAAAAAAAAAAGAAAACAATATTACCCAGCATGTGTATGTATCAAAATATAGGATTCTATAAGCATGTCCAGTTTTAATAGAATTTATGTATGGAGTATAAATTTAAATTAAAACGCCAACAAATTTTATTAAAATAAGAATAGGACTAAATGAAAAATATTATTTGTCACTGTTTTGTTTTCATTTTGCTTATTTTGTTTTCGTTTTCTGTGTTTGGGTGTTTTGCATTGCTTGTAGAGACCAGAAGAGACGTCAGATCCTCTAAACTAAGCTAAAGTTACAGACAGTTGTTGTCTGTCATGCAGGTGCTGAGAACTGAGCCTCCATTGTCTGGAAAAACAGCCTTTGCTCTTAACCATTGGGACTTTTCTCCCGCTCTATTAACTGCTCGCTCAGTATGTTGCTTAGCCAGGCATGGTGGTGCACACCTTTAATCCCAGCACTCAGTAGGCAGAGGCAGGAGGATCGTTGTGCATTCTAGGACAGCCTGGTCTCCATAGTGAGTTACAGGACAACTTGTTTTACATGATGAGTTCCAGGACAGCCATGGCTACATAGAGAGTTCCTGTCTTTAAAAAAAAAAAAAAAAAAAAAATTATTTTCTTTTAGTGTTTTTTTGTCATGGAGTTATACTCAAAACATTAAAGAACTTAATATTTCCCCCAATTTTTCTTTGACAGGATATTTGTCAAATGCAAAGGATATCTACAAAAGCATGTTAGACTCCTGCTTGGATAACATTTGGAGACAGCTGAAAATTTTACAGTTTATTAAGGAAAAAAGGCCTAAAACCAACTATAAGATCGAAGAATTGCAATGTCAGATACTAAGCAGGTTGCAAAGTCAACAACAGATTAAGGTAGGGTATTGAGCTAAAGCAGATAAATTAATTAGTATAAATAAGGGGGATGTAACATGATTTTATGCATTTAACTTTGAAGTTATAAATAGGCTATGTCTGGCCCTTGACAGTTCCCTCCTTAAGTAAGATAACGGTAGTCTCAGGTGCAGAGAAAGGGGGATTCATGTCATTATTCATTGCCTTCCAATTTAAAATGCTTTAATTTCTGATATAAAGTGTTGCCATGGATTGGTTCTCCCTGCCTGATATTTGTATAAGATCATGGAAACCCACACCATAACATAATTACAATAATCTATTTTGGGGTAGTGATCTAGAATTTCATCTGACATGCTATTATAAAAAATACCTCTTGCCGGGCGGTGGTGGAGCACGCCTTTAATCCCAGCGCTCGGGAGGCAGAGGCAGGCGGATCTCTGTGAATTCGAGGTCACCCTGGTCTACAAGAGCTAGTTCCAGGACAGGCTCCAAAGCTACAGAGAAACCCTGTCTTGACAAACCTAAAAAACAAACAAACAAAAAAAGTTATGTATTTATTTTCTCACCCCCCTAAATCATTTATATGAGAACTGAATTAATGAAGGTTTAAGGCAAAATACCTCTCTAAACTTAATCTAGCAAAAAAGCATCCCAAGTGGTCACAGTGAGTCGGAATACAAATACATATGGTTTTCTTTCCACTCCTTTGCTCCTTTACCCTTGACTTTACAGACTCTTGACTGATTTCCTAAGTCCTTCAGTCAAATCAATACATGAGAAATTTACATTTGAATCTGAGGCCCTGCTCCCTTCCTGAAGAGAAACCGCGCACGCACACGCACTGAGGAGGAGAGTGCAGCAGCTCCTCCTTTTCTCCAATAATTTCAGACTGTGGGGGTTGAAATTAACAGTAAACAGCAGGCTGAGACAATTGTACATCAATATTATAGACAGGAACGCGAAGGCACTGCCCCAAAAACTTCCCTCATTGATGTCTGATGCTACCAGAATTTAGAACAAGAGTGTTTTCTTTGTAACCTGTGTGTTCCCTTTTTTGTTTGTAAGACAGGATTTTCTGTGCCTCAGAGGCTGGCTGGCCTTGACCTCCAGGCCCTCCTGCCCAGGCCTCCTTAGTGCTGGGTTCACAGGCTACTGCACCGCAGGTGGTAACTCTGCTCTCATCGTCGAGACTTTTATCTGACCAGTTAAATTTGCTAGTTTATCACTGTAGCAAAACAGCAGTGAATACCTCAGAGTAGAGCACTTGCTAGCATGGGTGAGGCCCGAGGTTTGACCTCCAGTACTCACCCCCCAAAAAAGGAGAAGAATAATTCAGCAGTACATGTGGAATTCTTGTTTTTGTCTAGGTACTGATTATAATAAGAATGGACTCAAATGGAGAAAAGCATTTGCTTATTAAGACCCTTAAGAAAATAGAAGGTAGGCACATTTCACTTATGCTTCATTTAGTGTTTTAAGTTATACAGATGTATTTATCTAACTGTTATTGACAGTGAAAACCATAAATTTATGTTCTCAAAGTCTAGGACTCAGTGGAGTTTCACCAATAGTTCAATCTCCAGTTGCCCAAACTTTCATCAGTTCTTGAACTAACAGTTCTTAAATCAGTGTAGTAAATCTGCAATATATCTACAGTGTACTTATAATTTTATTAAGAATTGACCTGTTTTGTAGATTACTTCCTAGTTGCTACATTGATACTCAGTTTCATAAACAAAGAAAAAGTTCATAAAGATTGTGTAGCATACTAGCTGTTATAGGTCATAGTTAAGGAGGTAGTAACTACCCAGTTTTATCATTCCAGTGTGGACTTCATCTCCGCTCTCTGATACCCGCTCCGTCGGTCCTTCCTGCTCTGAGCTTTGGAGCCCACTGCTTACATGCAGATTCTGTCACACTATAGCTGAAACATGGCTTTCTCCCTCAAGCCATTGCCTCCTCTGTAGCCCTCTCTTAGGGAAGCTGATTGTTTTCCTTTAACACTTTTTTATTTGTGTGTACGAATGTGAACTCCTGCCTACATGATGGAAGGAGAGAACTAACACCTTCACGCTACTTTCCCTGACCTGCACACACAAACACGCACGCTATAAATAAATCAGGACAGGGCTACACAGCCTTAGCACGCGATGTGGAGGTGAACAGCTCCAGGCTGACCCAGCTGCCTTCGACACTTGCTATCCTATTTCACTGTTGTCTGCTGACACAAAAATCTTACTACACAACCGGACATGTTTGAATCTTTCAGAGACAGCTATCCTGAGCCAGGAGCTAGCTGAATGTATTTCACAATGAAATAGATTCCCTTGCTGATTGTGTTATGTATTTACATTTTTGGCTAGAGAGAGAATAATATGATTTGGGGCAAAATAAGATTAAATATACAACTAATGCGTGTTTAATATGGCCGTTTTAAAATTAAATGTTTGATTGTTTCTGTTGGCATAAAAAATTAAATTGCCATGATCTTTATATATACACATCAGGAATATTGCTTATGTTACAAGCTTTCTAATAAACTAGACTTAGAAATGTTGTTATTCCTTGGAAACTACAGCTCCCAGACTTCTCCTGGATCACCTGCGTGCGCGCTGGCCGCGCCCAGGTGAAGACCATTACTCCCAGATAACCTTGCGCCCCCAGTTAAAAGCGAGCGCTCCACGAGGTTTCGCTCTCTCTTGCTCCCTTGGTCCTTTTCCCTTTATCCTTGTGTGTCTGCACGTCCCGCCCTTATCGTGTTCCCCTCTCTCCATTAAAGCGCACCCACGTGGGAGCCGCGTGTCCGGCTCTTCCTTTGCGTCCGTCTATCCTGTGTTTGTCCACACACCCACGCCGCCCCGCCGCCGTTTTAAAGGAATAATAAATGTAATCTGCAAAAATCGTATTTCAAGTAATGTTCATGCCTACAGAATTTCAGTTCATTTTTATGGGAGTGAAAGTTGTGACACTGGAAAAAGTATTTAAATAAAACTAAAAAAAAATTTTTTTTTTGAAAGATAACTCCCTTTTTTCCTAACAGGTTTAACAGTGACTGTTTTACATTCAAATGAGAGAAAAAAATTTCTGGAAACTACCGGTGTTATCAAAGGGTAAGATTATGTGTTTCAATCTACGACAGAGTTCCACAGGAAAGGGAGAGCTAGTTTGGGCTGTGCTGTAGCCCTCAGCCCAGGAGTGGCCTTGGGAAGATGATCCTCCCAGAGTTCTGGTTAAGAAAAGCTGAAGTCCATGGCTTTACTCTCCTCATGGAAAAGGCCATAGAACACTGACTCACAGCATAGCCATGTCTGTTCAATAAAATTAGCATCCAAGAATTTAGTTCAGTCTTATTTTAATACTGCAAAATTATCATCATCATTGTTGTTGGCCTAGAAATAGGCATTGGTGGTACACACCTTTAATCCCAGCACTCAGGAGGCAGGCAGATCTCTGAGTTGGAGGCCACCTGGTCTACAGAGTGTGTTCCAGGACAGCCAGGGCTACCCAGAGAAATCCTGTCTCAAAAATATAAATAAAAAAGGAAGAAAGAAAAAAGAAATATTCTTTAAAACAACCTTGATTTCTTCAGTTTCTCCATTTTCTTTCTTCCTGGGGAAGGCCTGCTTATAATAGACCAAGCATTGGGTTCTTGAGTGCCTTTATTTTGTCTCGTTTTACATAAAAGTTATTTCTAATATTGGAATACAAATAATGAAAAGAAATACAAATACAATAGAAGCCCATAAGCACTAGGTATGAACACTTTAACCTTCCGGACTGAACTGGGTGGAAAGGAGCAGCAGAGGGTTGGTTATGGTAGGCGCTGGAGCACACAGGACGGGAGGAGACCACACTGGCACTGCTGTGCCCGTTGTTTATTGTGTTCATTAAACACTTAGGAAGCCCATGGAGAAGAGACAGCTCCATCCTACTACATAGAGTCTTAGAATAAAGACTTGGCATTGGTGAGGTGAGGCAGGTTTTCATGTTGATATCCATTATTGATGATACAATAAGATCAGAGTTACATTTGGGATATGACCATACAAAATTTACATTCTGGTATTTTTCTAAGTATGATTATCTGAGAGAAAAATAAAATGAAAGCCAGCATGGCATGGTGGTGCACTCCTTTAGTCCCTACACAGGAGGCAGAGGAGGTTGGCTCTCTGTGAATTCGAGGCCAGCCTGGTTCCAGACAGTCATGGCTACATAGACTCAAAAAGCATAAACAGAGCTGGAGAGATGGCTTCTCCGTTAGACTAGGCTCATACACACACACACACACACACACACACACACACACACACACACACACACAGAAAAAAAAAGCAAACCATAAACATCTGTACCTGTCCGTCCAGCTCCAGCTAAAGAATAACCCGTGTGATTCCATTGTCCTCACCTGCTTTTGTCTTCAGCATGAGTTCCTGTGTGGTGGTGCATAACCACCATATCAGAGCAGATTTCCCCTGGAGCAGCTTCTCCCTGGTGCTGGAGTACAATCACGTGGGCCACTCTTGCTGGGCCAAGCACTGCCAGCAGTTGAATATACCGTTCCTGGCCTTTAAAGTCGTCCTTCCAGACACAGCGCTGAAGAGTAAGGAGAGAAGCCGGGATCCTGGTTTCTGTTAGAGTAGAGTTGCTCTGTTTGAAGAAATAATTTGCTGTTTATAAAATAAATTTTGTACTTATATAGTTTATAATATACAGCTTATATATAGTTTGTAAACTATATAGTACAGTTTATATAGTTTCCTTAACATACACCTGCATTACTTCTGTTTAATAAAAGGAGGAAGCTGAGGTAGAAGAAAATGTAAACATTTATAATTCTCTTATTTAGGAGTCACCTTGCTGGATAGATTTGGAGGGTTTCTCTTGGACATTCAGGTGCCATACGTATTTTTTGCATCTGAAGGTCTGCTTAATATCCCAGAAATACTCTGGCTGCTGGAATCTGGGTAAGCCATGCTTTTTAGTTGTTGGTCTCAGCAACCTCAGCATGTGTGTGTGTGTGTTCCGATTAGTATACCTTATCTTCCTGATCCAAGACTAGAATATTACAAGATCATCTTTCCAAAGAGCATGTCAATTTATATTTCTAATTCCTAAACTATAACTATTGAATAATATTTTTATGATAATTACTAATTTTATGTACAAAATGACATTTAATTTTTCCTTAATTTGCATTTTATTTACATTTCTCTTGTTACCAGCACATACATTCATCTTGTTTGTTCTTTTTCTGTGAATTACATATTCAAACATTTGAGTCATTTGCAATATTCAAAAAGAGAACTTTTTCTAAAAATAAAAAAGGAACATGGAAAACAGGACTATGAAGTTCTAAATGAATGGTTGGGTTTTCAGGTTAGTAGTTTTAAGGTTATGCCATCATTGAATGTTTTAAATTAAAAAATACTGTGTCATAGTACACAGGAATGTTGAAGTGCACATCAATGAAGAAAAACTGAATTATTACTTCAGATAAAATCCAAATCAACATTCTATGCTTTTGTTTTTGTATTGAAAGGCTATAGGGCACTCATAAAAACTGTTAGCTCATGAAAGCAGTTAAAGTGTAGGCAGAGACTTGGGTTGTAGGTCAGTCACGTGTACTTAGTATGTGTTGTGAGGTCACTGAGTATTCGTGAGGCCCAGAAACAGCTTGACCCCGAAAAGTGAGTCAGTATAAAAAAAGGAGAAAATTCTGATAAATGGGGAATCTTACAGTCTTTGGACATGATAGTTTAATGTATGAGTTTCTGCTAAAGAACTGGGATAGGGGGTGAAAACATGTGTATGGCAGTATATACACTGATATCCAGCACGAGTACTGAGACAGCATATACTTTTTAAAAGATTGTCGTTGTAAAAGAGAGAGAGAGAGAGACAGAGATAAAAAGAGATTAGCATGGACTGGACAGAGGGCTCAGCCATTAGCAGTACCTGCAGAGGACCAGTTTGGTTCCTGGCGCCCAGGTTGGGCAGCCCCTAACCACCTGTAACTCTAGCGGTGGCCCAGGGGATCTGGTGCCCTGTTCTTGTCACCATGCACCTGCACCCACCCACACATGCACAAAAATTAAAGCTAAGTCTTTAAATAGATAAATAAACATTTGAAAAGAGAGTAACACAATTCAAGGTGAAGCCAATAGAGAACGCACCAGACGCCTTCCAAGCTGGGCAGGTACAGATTAGAGGAGAAGTGTCTGGTTTCTTTTATAAGTAAATCACAATTTTATTCCCCGAATTTAAAAAGCTGATTTATGAGAAAAACAGTAATCCCCATAACTGACTATTCCAAAGGGCAGCACAGTCCTCTGAGGTGTGTTCTCAGCCATGCATCGTCTCCACTGAAGACTGTTGTCTCCCGCAGCTATAATATCACACTAGTGGAGAGAAGCTGCTGCGAGTCTCTGAAACTCTTTGGAAGCACAGAGCGCTACGTGGTGGTCACAGTTGACGAGCACACTGCTGTAGTCGTGCAGGTAAAACTATGTCACACAGGGTAGAAACTCCAGTGGGAAGTAACTCTGGGGGATTAGCATGAGGAGTAGGGAACAAATATGGACGACATACGTTCAAATGTATGAAATTATCACTTATTAATAAAATATTAAAATAGAAAGTCAGGCATGTTAAAATAATACATCTATGTTATTTTTTCCATATGGAGCTTATCTGTAATCTGTGATCTCTTCTAAATTTTGCAGATGGGCATAGTGATAAATTACCACCACGGAAAATGACTACCAGTCTTCCTGATGTCATATAAATTTTAACAAAATTAAGGAAGATAAAGACAAACATAGTGATATCTGCAATCTTGGCATGTAGGATATTGAGACGGGATTGCAAGTTTGAGACCAACCTGAGTTATGTACAGCAAAACCCTAACTAAAAACAAACAAAATGAGTAAAGAATCTGGGGCTGGAGAGATGGCACAGGGGTTAATGGCACTGGCTGCTCTTCCAGAGGTTCTGAGTTCAATTCCCAGCCACCACATGGTGGCTGACAGCCACCTATACCAAGATCTGGTGCCCTCTTCTATTGTGCTGGCAGAACACTGTATACATAATAAATAAATCTTTAATAAAAGCATCTTAGCAATGTATATTTGTGTATTTTAAAGTTATTTGTTGAAAAAAAAGTGTAGGAAGTTTCAAAAGCAATAAATTCCAAAGGCTGGGGATAACAGAATGCTGGCTAGCATGCACACTGCCCTGAGTGTGAGCACCAGCTGTGCAGACTGAGTGTGAGCACCAGCTGTGCAGACTGAGTGTGAGCACCAGCTGTGCAAACAGAACAAGATAACGAAAACCAGGAACCTCTTTCATGTAAGAAAGTACAGTATAATCTTACATGGCTGTGTAGTTCGTTCTTTATTTCTTTTTTTTTTTTTTTTTTTTTTTTAACATAGCAGAGATTTTTTTATTGCTTTGGAGGGTTTCTCTAGAGCAGCTTTAGATTTTTGGCAATTTAGAAAGTTTCAGAGTATACTTAATCCAGAGTAAAAGAAGCTCAGGCATCAGAGGGATGAGGATGGTTGCTTTGTGCAGCAGTTGCATTGGATAGTACTCACTGCCAATTTCCAGAGATCATTTTGAAATCTAGGTAGTAGGAAAATTAAACTTCAGCCCTTTAGTAGCCTGAGTGAGAAGACTTAAGCCCTACTAATATACTTCGCATAGTTGCAGATAGCTAGAAGATGAAGCAGCCTTGTTTGATTTAAGCGAGGGGTGGCATTCCAAATGCTGGGGAGAGGCTGGAACAGGTTCTCCAATTCTGTAAGCTTAGTAAACCCAGGAGACAGGTACCCACTGTGGAGAACTGCAAGCCTGGTCAAAGGCTTCTTGCAATTTCTTAAGAGTTTCATCAACACCATTATTCACCAAAGAGAGGTCAAAGTAGTGAGAATATTGACTACGGATGGCCTCAGAGTCCTTCTGCAGCTGCTGCAGGGCTTCAGTCTGAGTGCCCTGATCAGTAGGTTCGATGAACACAATGAAAGGTGAAAGCTCAGCTGTCCGAACAATCTTCAGGGTCTGGGGCTCAATGTCAAGGATGGCAATCTTGTCCTGCTTATGAATCTGGTGCACTGTTTCGAATTTAGTGCCAAACATGTTGCCCTGATAGCTGCCAAACTCCAAGAACTCGTTGGCAGAGATGTTCCTTGTCATTTCCTCTGTTGAGATGAAGTGATATTCCTTTCCATCTTCTTCATTCTTCCTTGGTGGCCGTGTTGTATATGGGACAGGGTATACAAACTTCTCTGGATTCTGGCTGAGCAGAGCATTCTTAATATGGCTGCGACCTACCCCACTGGCTCCGATTAGAACCAGGGTCTTCCTCTTGAATGCAGGGAGTCGGACAACTTCCTCATAGGAAACAACATCCAACTGGTCAAAAATTGAACTGTGCTTAGCCAGATACTTGTCTTTATACTTCTTCTTCTTCCCAAAGGGACTGCAGCTTGGAGCTTCATTTGGAGCAGACTGAGCCACACTTGCCACTCTCCATTCCTGCAGCTCAGGAGAAGGGATCAATCCTGCAGACTCCTTGGAAGAGCCTTCCACCCGCCCCTGCCACCAGTTGCTGTCATCTTTGTTGATAATCTGGATAATGTCTCCAGTAACAAACTTCAGTCCTGCCTCCTTACAAGGGATAAGATTGTCCTTTTTGGGATCATAGTCGAACTGTGCTCTCATGAACATCTGTAGTGCAGGAAGACGACTCTGCTGATTAGGAATTACTTTTAATGAGATCATTCCTTTGGTTTCCTTCATTGCCTTCTGCAGCTGGTCTACTGAGTGATTAGTCACATTTGTGCCATTGATTTCTAGGATCTCATCCCCCACGTGAAGAGAGCCTTGTCTATGAATCATGCCACCATGGAGAATTCTGGCCACAGTACATGACTGTTTTTCATTCAGCTTCAAAGTAATTCCCATGGGCTCCTCTGTGATCTTCTCAAACTGTATGAGACGTACTTTCCTTGCCTCTTGCCCTTTAGAATGGGCAGGGCTACCTGGAACAGTAGACCCATTGGTGTACATGTCCTCAGTGGCAACATTCAACTGATTCAATGCAGCCTCAGGTCGGTTGCGCTTCTGTAGCAAGTGTTCCAGGTAGAGGTCCGAGAGCGCGGTGCGCATGCTATTCCCACCCTCGCCTTCGCTCGACTTGAGCGTCATCTCGCAGGAGCACCGACACTGGGACACTGGAGCTGTAGAGTTTAAGCCCGGGAATCGCAAACCGGTAACCGCGGCCTGTTCGGAGGCGTGGGAGACTGAGGCGGAGGCGGGCGGAGGCCGCGGAGGCGGCTGAGGCAGCGCAGGCGGCAGAGGAGGAAAGGAACTAGAGCTCTCTTTATTTCTTTTTTATTTTGTGTGTGACTGTGTGAGTTTATGTGCACCACGTGTATTCAGGTGCTCAAGGATCCAGAGGGCATTGGATCCCCTGGAATTGGAATTATAGGTGATTGTAAACTCTGATCTGGGTGCTGGGAATTGAATGAGTCTGGACTCTGTGTTAGAGTAGTGTCTTAACTGCTGAGCCATCTTTCTAGCCTTAAAAAAGTCTAATATTAATTGATGGTTAGAAGTGTACAATTTCCTCTAAGGCAAATAGGGATTGCTTCAAATTGTTGTTTCTCAGAGAGAGAGAGTCCCCAAAACCACCTGGAATTTAGACCTGTCTCCTCACCTGCAGTGCTGCCACCCAGCTGGGTGCTCAGACCCTGGCTGCTGACACATTAACTTTATGACAGTCACAAATTTGTTAAAATACAGTTTGGAACTTAAGATGTATACATTCTTGGAAGAGTCTTCTATGTTTGCTTGATTGGTGTGCCAGTTGTAAATAAATGGAGATTGGAAATCAGGTTTGAGTATAAATTATTGATAAATGTGGTAAGGTCTGATTTAATGAGAAAAATTATACTATAAGAAGGATATAATGGAAAAGTCAAGTCCTGGAGCTTTAAAGAGACAGTGTTTCTTGAATATTTAAAGTTCTTAATTATTGGTTGACCTGGAAAAACTCTTAATCCACAGTTATAGAATTTCTGTTAGAAGAAGGACATGTCTTGAATGACACATTTTATCATATATCTTATTAAACTTTAATAATTAAATGAAGAGAAGATCCAGACTGTCGAGGGACCCAGGAAGTCTACCAAGCCCACCCTTTTAGGCTTGCTGTGCGGGGCTCCCGTACTCGAACTCTGGCCGCAGTGCTCGCAGGGCAAGTGCATTTACCAGTTGCACCATCAACGGGTTATTCCATGGGCTTTCGAATGTACTTTCCGTTGCCCTGGGGTAGCCAGATCCCAGTCCACAAAGCACCTTTTCAGCACAGGAACATTGAACTGGTCATTTTATTCCTATCTTGGACTGTGGGAGGATGCTGTCATAGTTACCAATTTTATGTCTACTGCAGCTTTAGTTTTTACACCAAACTATACCCATGTGTCTTAAGTTTCCATTTCTAAACCTCAGGCTGTTGCAAGTTTTAAACAGTAGTCAACCTAATGTATCTTTTCATTTTCTTTATTTTCATAGGACCTAGAAGAATTATATTATGAGAAGGCATCAGACAATATCATTATGAGATTAATGGCGTTGTCATTCCAGTATAGCTGTTGTTGGATAATACTGTATCCCAAGGAAACATTAAATTCAGAGTAAGTAAACACTCTTCCTCCAAAGCCATGTTCATAGTCTTCCTCAGTCCTCTTTGCACACAAATGTTCATGCCAAGTCCACTTAGTCATCTAGTATGCTTTAAGGGGGGGTCGGGGATGGAGGCAGGGTATTGGAGAGCCAAGAACTCTGCAGATGGCACATACTGTCCTGGACATTCTGTTTAGATCATCCCCTCAGACCCTGTCTCACTGAGAATTATTATTTTAAGTGTTTTATTTCTTTGCAATCCTGGGCTTGTTTGCTAAAAGACAAATCATTTTAAACCACTTCTAAAATCCTGTTAATACACTGACTACGTAACTCCTTCATGTACTTACGTCATTGGTGGGCTTAACGAAAACTTTAGAAAATGCCATGGCCAGACAGTGGCTTGAGTCATCATTGTATTTATCCTTTCCTTTACTGATAAGCATAATAACCATTTCTTCTTTATTCTCTGCCAGCTGGCTTTTCTCTTGGCCTCTGTACCAGCCTTTGTCTCTGGAGGTCCCTGCCTCAGGACCGTCAGCAGTGCGTTTGTTTATCTTTCGCTGCTCTGAGGCATTTAGGACTGTTGCAGTGGTCTGTTGCTCCAAACTCCCCAGGTCTGTGACAGAACTCCAGCGCCTTTGATCGTCCACCTTTCTAAGTCCTTTCCCTGCCTGTACAGCTTCTTTGTGTCAGTCTCTGAACATACTTATCTTTGGGTTCTCTCATTGTCCGTCATATCTACTACAACTTTTGTCGGGATCTGTCGGTATATATTACTACATTTCTTTCTGCAGCCTTTTTGGGAATTCCTGGAACAAATTTCTAAATCTTTACTAAACATTTCCACCCTTATATTCCACAACTCTCAAATTAACATGTTCAGATATGAACTGACTGTATAGTCTCTGTCCCCTCCAAGCCTGTATTTCTTCTTCCCTGCCCTTTAGCAGTTTTATGTTCTGTCTGCCCTGCATTTATGTTAGCTCAGATTCTCACTGTTCATGTGGATTGTTACACTACCTGTTGTTTTTGTAGCTCTACCTGTCTCTCCCTGTTCCTTTAAGTGGTGTGTCAGATACTTGGTTGATGACCCTAAAACCAAACTCTGATTATTCCATTCTTATGAAAAGCCTTTACTGAGAGGCTAGAAAAATAACTCTGTCAGTAAAGTGCTAGGCACAAGGAACTGAGTTTGAATCCAAAGACCTGAGTTCAGAATCCAGAACCCATGTTAAAGAAAACAACAATAACCAACAGGCATGGCAGTGTGCATGTTAATCCCAGTGCTGGGGTGCTCCCTGACCATTCAGCCTGGCCTGCTTGGCCGGTTCTATAACAGCAGTGTGACAGCACCTGAGAAATGACGCTTGAGATGTTCACTTCAGACTCTAAGCAGGACACGGTACTGAAGACCTTTAATCCCAGCCTGCTACATAGCAAGCCCTGTCTCCAGAAGATGAAGACAGAGGAGAAGGAGGAGGAGGAAAGGTGTTAACTTCTGACTCTGTATGCATGTGTATACACACAAACATCACATGTGTGCGCACACACACAGTTTTTACTGAGTTCCTAGCTACCTACTCAACACAATACAAAATGTGACCCATATGTGTGAGATGTCGGGATATGACGCACCTGCATTTCCAGGCTGCTTCTTCCCTGCCCTCCAGTTCAGCCAGGTGCTTTCTGCTATCACCCACTTCCTTTCTGCTTCTTCAACTCTTTCTGCTACTGAAACTGCACTCAGGTTTGTTTTATCTTCCGGACGTGTCCCAGGTACTGTTTTCTGCTCCGTCTTTCTCAGAGCTCCCTCTTTACACTTTCCATCCTAAGAACCGCTTAGCTCTCTGTTTCTTCTGTATTTTGAGTCTTTGGAGCACACTGCTTTCGGGTGATAGGTGCTCAGTAGTTCACTGAATGAGTCAGCCTTTCCTACCAAATTGCTAACCGGTGTGACTCGTTTTTATTCCTCTAGTACCGCCTCCCACCTAACTCACAACAGCTATGTATTCTTTAAACAGGTTGTTGAAGAAGGAATCGATCGATACACTTGGCATTGCCTGTGATTTTTGTGAGGACAGAAACGAACTGGAGTCTAAGAGTCTGAGTACCTTGGCTCTTAATTCCTCTTCTATTAGCAAGCAGCCCCAGCAGGTCATTTAACATAGTGGGCCCCTTTCACCTGGCTACAAAATAAAATCTCACTTTGAAGATTAATAAGGCCTATAAAACAATTCAAGTCTGGTGCCTGCTTATAAATCATTTTAAGCTTTATCCAAAGCTTGCCAATTTTTTAGATAAATTATTTACTTGGAAGTTTTCTAAGGCTGTTTTCAGATTGCTGTTCATCTATCGTATTGTGGTTCAGTTGAAATGCAGGGGAGAACAGCAAAGATCCCGACCTATTTTTGCCTATCATGTAACATTCTGAGATAGCTTTATTTTTATCAGAGTATATAGTGTGATCATTTATTTGTGATATTATCATAAATATAATTATTTCCAGAATTCCAAGTTTCATAGTTCTATTTTATTAGATAATTGTAACCTTTTTCTTTCTTTCTTTTCTTTTTTTTTGGTTTGGTTTTTTGAGACAGGGTTTCTCTGTATAGCCCTGGAACACTCTGTAGACCAGGCTGACCTGTTTGTTTAAAGGTGGGATATGTGGTACTAGAGGAATAAAAACGAGTCACACCGGTTAGCAATTTGGTAGGAAAGGCTGACTCATTCAGTGAACTACTGAGCACCCTCTCCTGGGTCAACATTCACATCTGACCTGTCAATAACTATAGAAAGGGGCAGAGTGCTTCTTCTAATGGAGCAGCTCATGAAAGATGCCGGTACCTGGCTCTGGCCATGTTTTATCTGAACCTACCACTTTGACCCAAAGATGGAGCATTCTCTGTGTCTAACTTTAGGTCACACAGTCGTCCCTGGAGATGAGAATGGAGTGGGTCAGCTCCTCTCGTCAGCCATCACCTCCCTCAGCACACACCCTCAGCATCCCTAGATTTAATAGTGTGCTCAAGGACAGGAGGTGGAAATGCCCTTTCCAGACAGGGGAAAGGAAGTGCAAGGAGGTGGGACGTGCCTGCAGCAAAATGTCTGATGCAGAAACATGTAATAATCTCGTTCTTAGGTACCATCTCACACCAAAGACACTCCATCACCTCGCGCAGATTTATGCAGCCTTGGTTTCCTCTGGTCTTAAATCTGAAGAACTGGATGTAAAGGTATTGTTTTCCTACGTATTCATAAATACTGTTCATAAACTAAAATTAGACTTGAACTCAAGTGCCCAGTGAGAAGAAACATTAAACAGACACAATTCCTTAAGAGCCGATAAAAAGCAAGGTAAAATTATTAATTATATTTATCACTACACTTCTGTTTTAAAAGCTTATATGTGTTTTGCATGAACATACACACACATATAAATTCACATAAAATAAATACGTGGCAAGAACTTTAAGCCTGGTATAGTGCACACGACTGTTATCTTGGCACTCAAGAGTTCAAAGCCAGTTAGGGAGACTACCTCAAAAACCAAACAGTAATGAATGTTTCTAGTTAATTTAAAATCAAGCATAGTTAGAACTTAGTTTTGTTTTTCAAAAGGTTTTTTTTAGAACTTTTAAAAAACATGTCAGGATATGAAGAAAAATAAATGTCCCTTGATCAAAACATGTTCTTTATGCAAGATGTACTGAGATTTTCTGTCAAGACATTTTGATAGGGTAATGTGTACTGATGATCTATAATCTCCTTACTTGGCCACTTTTTAGGGTCCCACTCTAAAACTAAACCATTTGTCTGAATTTTTCTGTTATTATTTCATGCTTTTTAAGAACTCAGACGTTCCCACATCCTTGTTGTAGTTTCTGAGTAGTTCTTAAAATCCTTCTGACATGTAAGGTCTGCACCTATATTATAGCAGCCAGTTGACAATCTCCACCCGAATATCCTGCAGATACCTCAGACTCTGTGTCCCTATGAAACTTCCCGTCCTCCACCAAGCTTGATTTAGGACATTTCTGTTCACTGGTGTGGGCCTCTTTGTACAGTGGCAGTATCTCTGGACTCAGTCTCCTTCTACGCCCACCTCTGCTTCTCTGAGTTCAGGCATGCATCACTTCTTCTGAAGAATTTTAAGATGCCTTCCCAACTAACCAGCTTTTCCCTACCTGTTCCCTCCTCTGTCATTTGCTGGCACACGTTCCATTGCTAGGATGCTGCTGTGAAAATCCGCTCACAGAAGTGTGCTACTGGAGGTGAGGGGGCGTGTCTGATCACGTCTGTACTCTGGGCACTCAGCATGATGCCAGATAGACGGTTATTGATAAATACTGTCAAGTTTTCTTGCTTAGAGACCTTCCATATCTTCCCTGCTTCATTCAGAATAGAGTCAAATTCCGGTGGATTCAGAATTCAGTCCCTGGGTAATCATGTCCTCCATAAAGCCCTACAGTCATACTCCACCAATGACGAGATACTATCCAGTCTTTCTTCCCCCAGGATGCTGCTGTCCATCTCCTGGAGCCAGGTTTCAAACACTGCTTCTGTAAGGGACCCTGCCCAGGCACGCCCTCTCAGAGTAAACATGGCCCTCCCCATTACACCTTTTACCTCTATTATGGGGTAAGGTGTTCATTGGTGGTGGTTTGGTTTTGTTCTGGAGACAGAGTGTCACTGTGCAGTGTTGCCCTGGCTGGCCTTGAACTCACAGAGATCCAAGTACTGGGATTAAGGTGCACACCACCCCTGGCACAGGTTTATTTACGTACTCTCCACTCTGAAAGGTAAGAACTAAGTCCTCTGTAAACCCGGGCAGCTAGCACAGTGCTTCACACCGAGCACCTGCTAAATAGAGTCAAGTCAGATCACAGCCTGTTAAGAACAGGAAGAAATGATCCTTTTGAAAACTTAAATCTCATGATACATACTACCCACAAAAGTAAAATTCTTAGAAAAGTTACCTTTAAATAAGCGAATGACAGGTGCAAATGTGTCTTGTTTATTCAAATGAGGATTCCCTGCTTGGTTAGCCTTTCCCGAGCATGTGGTAAAGAATTATATGTAAAACATGCTATCAGTAAAGTGGCACTGTTGAGATCCAGGGACACGGTCAGTCCAGAGACGGTGTGCCCTGAGGACGGCGTGTGAGGATAAAAGAGGAGTGTGTGCAGGCGATCCACTCTGAACAAAAGTCCGCTTCTGATGAAAAGACTCCAGGTGCTTTTCAAGTCCATCCTAAAAAGTCGTCCAGGTTTTCTGTTGTTCTTACAATGTTGGCCTTGTTAATACGCATAGGTGTGCCGCTGATCTGACTTTATGTTGTTATTATACCAGGGCTGAGGGAAGGGTGGAGCTTGGCAGGCAGAGTCTGCAGAGCACTGACAAAACCGTGGGTTCAGTCTCCAGTACCACATCCTGCAACGCCATGGCACTTGGGAGATTGGGGCAAGAGGATCAGAAGTTCAAGGTTGCCTTTGGCTACATAAGGAATTCAAGGATAACTTGGACTACATGAGACCCTGACTCAAAACTAGGAATAGCCAGGGGCTCCTGACCCATATGTGTTATGTATGTATTAGAATGTATTGCTACTTTATCTAGTTACCATGACTTTTGTCTCTTAGAGAACATCAGTATATTATTAGCTCTCTTTTGTTCCCAGCCATCTTAGCCATAAAAGAATTACCTGGAAGTCTAAGGACATTCTCTTAACTTAAAAGAAGGTATTGGTAGTGCTATCTAATTTTTAGATATATTTCATTTGTTAATCTTTTTTTTTTCTTGTGGTACTGGTGATCCAATTCAAAGCCTGGTGTGTAGTAGGCAAACAAGCATATAGCACTTAGTTATATTCCTAACCTTCTAATTTTAAAAGATTTCTATGAGTTTTTTATGAACTCTCCTTGCAGATGATATATACACATATACAAATAAAGAAATAAAGCTTTTTGAATCCTCTTGAATTCTTAGTCTGGGCATGAACCCCAGAATTCTCATTCTGATAAATTACTGCAATATTCATTACCATCATCATAAAATTTTGTCTTTTAGAATAAATTTTTGTTTAAATGAAGGTGCCTTGTTTTCCCCAAATCATCTAAAACTAACAATGAAATAAAGTTGTGGTTAAACAGGATATCTCTATACAATGTGTATATATCTGTGTAAGCTTTAAAAAGTTCTCTTTTACAATATATGCACTCCAAAAAAAAAAAGTATGTGCAGAAGTTTTATACTTACTATCCTGAAACTAGCTCATAGCTGTTTTGTGAAAATTGTACCCTTTTATCATGTATAAGATTCAGTCCTAAGAAATTAGGTATCCCAGGTACAGGCTCTTCACCTAAGCTGTGTCTCCAGCCATTGTGCTGTCTCTTGAATCCCCATCATACACAGATTCTTATTTTACTTCCCTGTGTGGGCTCTGACTGTGACGAGTCTTTTCTGTTTCTCCATCCTGCTCCCAAATCATGACACAGAGACTTGCTAATTATGAACGTTCAGCCTTAGCTCAGACTTGTTCCTAACTTGCTCTTTTATTTATGTTCTATCATGTAGTATTACCTCTCTCCATCTTCTTATTCCTGTTTCCTCTTATATCTCTGCCCTTCTTCTTCCCAGAGTCCTCTCTGTCCCCAGAAATCCTGCCTAACCTCTTTCTAGCTATTGGCCATTCAGCTTTTTATTACACAGTCACAGCAATACATCTTCACACAGTGTACAAGTACCCACAGCACTCTGGCTCTGTTGCTAGGTTACTCCCAGGATTACAAATGCAGGAAATAAAATTACAGTTGGCTATAAGCTGTCATGTGGGTGCTGGGAACTATACCTGTCCTCTGCAAGAACAGATGTTCTAAACCACTTAGCCATCCCTCCTGCTCAGAAGTTACACGCACATGTAAACATGCGCGTGCATACACACACAGACACACAATTTTGGCAAGAGTGTCTTAGAATCAAATAAACTAAAATTAAATGAACAATTACCAACTAGAATGACTGCTTAAAATCAAAACATTTAAAATGCATTTAGTGATTCCTTTTTGAGAACTGTGTGTATGCACAGAGCGTATTTCGATTGTATTCATTTCCATTCTTCTCCCTAACCCCTAGGTCCACTTCCTCATCCCTCCAAACGTCATGTCTCTTTTTAATAGCCCACCAAGTCTAATTTGTGTTGCACACATATTCGTGTGTGGCCGTCCACTGGCAGTGTGGTGGACCTAGTGGGGACTACATTCTTTAAAAAAAAAAAAAATTCTCCCTCCCCGAGAAGCATGGGTTATCAGTAGCAGCTCAGCGAGGGTGGGCTTGTGAGCCCCTCTCTGCCCAGGCTGGAATGTGGACTGACTGGATTGCTCAGGCAGCGTCAGCTGCTGTGTTTGAGTGCAGCAGGCCTGTCGTGTCCAGGAGATGCTGTGGTGCCTATTCCTGACCTCTGGCCTTATGGTCCTTTTGCCCTCTCTTCTGCTATGAAACCCGAGCCTTGGGGCAGGGGTATGGTAGAGATGTCCTGTTTGTGCACTTTGACCAGTGTGAGTTTCTTCACTAACCACTGTCTACTAATACAAAGAGACTTCTCTGAAGAGGTGAGAGCTGCACTAATCTATGGGTAGAGAGACGTGATTACAGAGGGCAGTTTGAGATTACATCCACTTAGCAAAATACCAGTAGTAGGTTCCCTGGAGCCTATGATTTCCCCAGCCATGAACCCTTGTCCAGGTTACGGTGCCAAGTATGCTCCTGTAAGCAGGGCTTATGCCTTATTTTTTTAGCACAATTGTCAAATTAATTTATAAGTATCCTTCATGTCTAAGTTTGTTTTTGAAAACTATTGCACTGTATTTCTTATTCTTATTTTCAGTTGACAACTACTAGAAAAAGCAAAATATTAAATATTACCAGTGATTTTCAAGTTGCTCTTCTATAAGTGAAATATAGCACTAAATAAATTTTAAAACTTTATAAGTAAATGCCAAATTAAAGTGAAGAAAAACTTATTCCAAAAATTAGAAAATATGGCACAATATTGAAAGAAAGAAGGAGCTAGGTGTGGGGGTGCATGCCTTTAATCTTAAAATTCAGGAGGCAGAGACAGGGAGATCTCCATAGGTTCAAAGCCAACCTGGTCTACATAACAAGTTTCAGGATAGCCAGGGCTACATAAAGAGACCTGTCTCAGAAAAAGAGAGAGAGAGAGAGAGAGAGAGAGAGAGAGAGAGAGAGAGAGAGAGAATGAATGAATGAATTGATTTGGTTATCCTCACAAATGAAAGCTCTTGGGTTTCAAATACACACACTAATAAGTTATATATAAAATGATGATTAAAAATTCGTTACTCAGATTTTTTCCTTTATCTCAAACTGTTTCTGAATGCTACATCTTACTTCCTAGTATTTTCCTACAATCTAACATATGAAATATTTTTTAGCTTATAATTGCCCCAGGAGTAGAAGAGACTGCCTTAACAATCCGACAGATCGCAGACCACAATCTAATGACGTCCAAGAGAGATCCTCATGAGTGGTTGGATAAATCCTGGGTTGAAGTTTCACCATCTAAGGTTACTCTTTCTAAATGTATCCATTAGACATGTGCAAGGCAAACAAACGCTAATACCTGAATTCCCTTCCTGATAGCATATTTTTTCATGCTTCCCAAATTGTTATAAATTCAATGACAAAATTTTCATCTGTAGACTAAAGTAGGTCCCTCTCACAAGCCCCCTGCCCGAGGAAACACCACACTGTCTTCCAGGAAGAAATGCACCTGCTTGATTTTCCGTGCATCAACCCCCTGGTGGCTCAGCTCATGCTGCACCGAGCGCCTTCGCTGCACTGGCTGTTGAGAGCATCGCCTGCTGAGCTTCAGGAACTCCTGCCCCAGGTTCCAGTCAAAGTCCTGAAGGTGGGTTAGGAGAGCACAGGCTGTAGTCTGTAATTCCCCTTCCCATCTCAGTTAGCGTCTGTACCACAGGCATTTCCAGGGATGATGTCCAGCTTTGTTTGGGGCATCACATAGGAAAGAAACCATTTACCTGAACTATGTTACATCTGGAATTGCCATTAGCTATACATTTTAAAGCTATCAAAGATAAATCAGTACAGCATTTTAAAGCATTTTAAAAATCATTGTATTCATAAATATTCAATTAATATGTATTTACATTATCCCTTCCAAAATTCCTGATGTCTTTTACCATAGCAGGGAAGGGAATTTTAGCTTTATTGATATTTTAAATTCTTATCAAGGAATTTGCATATAATTTGTATAACTAAATTAAAATTCACCGTATTTGTTGCAAACCTAAAACATCTCTAAAAACAGTTTATTAAAATTCCATTGCAAACTACTAGAAAATAGATGCAAATTACAATGATCTCTTTTAATGGTGTTTAGTTATTTTTTATGTTAATATGTGTCAATGTAGGATCTATGAATTTAGCTAGGCATCATTTTATTTTCCAAACTGTTATATTAAACTATTGTTTTTAATTTTCAGCATTTTTGTAGCATCACTTCCTTGTTCAAGATTAGTTCTTCCTCCATGACAAAGTCACCTCGAATTTCATCACTTCAGGAAGATATGAATCAGAGCTCAGCTCCTGTCATTCAAGAACACGATGAATATTATTCCTACGAAGACCCGGAAGAGACGGTGCAGGAAGACACAAGTGCTCCTTTTATGGAGCTAAGAGAGAGAATCTGCAGGCCGCCATCTGCAGCATCTCACAGGCAGGCCGGCTCCTGGGACACAGCGTGGAATAGCCCTTTTCTAAATCATAAGGACACAAAGAAAGCATCTTGGCACTCCTTTCCAAGCCAGAGTGATTCGGAATCAGATGTCTTTTCTTTGGGCCTAACACACATAAATTGTGAACCCGAAATGTTACCAGCTGATACTCAGAGGAGAGTTACTCATAATTTTGTGAATTATCCCAGAGCCAAAGGAAGCAGGAGTATGCAAGCATCCAGCCCCATGTTTTTACCAGAGGGCTCTCCATCCCATCTTTATTGGGACTTTAAGAAAAATACTGATCAAAAACAGATGTATTCATTCAGGTCAAGCTGTGGAGCAGAGCAGAGCACCTACAACAAATGGTGCCCTCAGGAAGACGACTTAACCAGTGATCAGCCAGAGTGTCTGTCGGCTGAACTGGAAGATCTCACACACAGACATTCAAATGCTGGGACTGACCAGACTTTCTGGAGAGAACGGCCATCTGCTCCCAGCTGGGATTCAGTCTATGCTTCTGATTCTAATGTAAACCAAAGAGGATTCCATGGCCTTGATTTCTACCACAGAGCTGGGAACTACTCAGGACAGAGAAGGCTGCCTGTATCCTCATCTAAATGGGAAGACTATGAAACACCAACAGGTAACACTAACAGTTGATAAAACTCCTGATTTGTAAGCTAAAGTCGGGGTCTGAGCGATGGCTCCGTGGCTACCAATGCTTACAGCTGTTGCAGAGGACCCACATTCGGGTCCCAGCACCCACTTTGGGTAGTTGATACCACCTGAAACCCCAGTTCCCAGGGATCTGACACCTCTGGCCTCCTGGACACCTGCACATGCCCACATGCCGATACACACACACACACACACAGAGAGAGAGAGAGAGAGAGAGAGAGAGAGAGAGAGAGAGAGAGAGAGAGAGAGAGAAAAAAAAAAAACATTTAAAACGATAGTGCTAGGATCAAATTTCAATGTTTTGTTCTAGTTGCCACACTTAAAGTTCTTCATTAACTTTGGGCTTAAGAGAAAATCAAAGGTAGTGGTCTAACAAAATATTTCAAATTCTCGTAATCTCAAATTAACCATACCTTCAACTTAAGTTTAAAACAGCACTCACTCAGGAAGATCTCTGAGTTTGAGGTCAGCCTGATCTACATAGTGAGTTCTGGGACAGCCAGGGCTACATAGAGAGACCCTGTTGCAAAACAAATAGAAAAACAAAATAAGGCGAAAAAAAGGAAATTTAAAATAAAAATAGCAAATCTGAGTAAAGCAGGTGATCAGGATTAAACAAGAATCAGCCTGTCAGGTACAAATATTGACTTGGCTACTATTAGGGGTGGTGACAGCTCAGTCACTCAGGTGCTTACTGTGCAAGCATGAGGACCTACGTTCAGCACCCAGAACCCACACACAAAAACCTGGCATTGTGGCCATGGCATGGATCCCCAGTGCTTGGGAGGCAGAGACAGGTGGACCCGTGGGCTTGCTGCTAGCCAGCCTATTTGGCAAGCTGTATGCCAGAGATTCTGTCTCAAAAATATAAGGATGGGGCCGGGCGGTGGTGGCGCACGCCTTTAATCCCAGCACTCGGGAGGCAGAGGCAGGCGGATCTCTGTGAGTTCGAGACCAGCCTGGTCTACAGAGCTAGTTCCAGGACAGGCTCCAAAGCTACAGAGAAACCCTGTCTCGAAAAACCATATATATATATATATATATTTATATTTATATTTATATTTATATTTATATAAGGATGGATGGTGCCTGAGGAGGAGGAAGACCCGGGTTTGTCCTCTCGCCTTCACGTGCACACATGTGTAACACACACGTGCACACACGGTGCTAGATCCTTTTCTATGCATTAACTTTACTAGGTACGAACCCATCAGCTTCACTCTGATGGATGTTTTCGACTTGTCTGAACATTTTATCGTTCTCTTTTAGAAAGGATACTTTATTTTCTCAGCGCTTGTGCCTTTATTTCTGTATAATTTCTTATGGCATTGACCTGACTTCTAGAATAAAATGTTCAGACACCATAAGGCATATGAATGTGGCTTTGCCGTTCAGGTAGCCGGGAGTGAGAAGAAAAAAAAAGTTAAACTTCAAAATTTCTCTTTTCATAGGCTCAAAATTTCTCTTTTCATAGGCTCCTTCTAAAGATCAGAGCAGGCCCGGGGGGGGGTGTGAACCCTCACATTCTATATTTTATTAAAAGAGAGCCTCCGAAACCTCACTCTTGATCATCCTCCCCTACTCCCCTGCCCTGCCCCTCACCTCCTGATGGCCCCCTGTGCTCCCCCACCCAGCAGCCTTCCTTCTGCTCCCATATCACATGTATTACTTCCTTTTAGCCCCACCCCTTAAAAGTTTCTCTTGGCCCTCATGGTTCCTTTCCTAGTCTGATGACCTATCCTAACCCTGAACATAAATATACAAATTACTATCCAAGCACCACATGAGAGAGTAATAGGCATGGCTGTCTTTCAGTTCCTGACTATTCACTTGACATACTTTACAGTTCTATCCATCGTTCTTCAAATGTTATGATTTCATTTTTCTTTAAAGCTGAACAAAATCCTGTTGTGTATATGCATAGGGACACTGTTAGTATGGGTCCTCTGTTTAGTTCTGATCTTCATATCAAGAGTCATGCATTTAGCTGATGGTGGTTGTGTGTGTGCACACGCTTTGTTACAGCAGCTTTATAAGTGAACCAGCTCAAACCCCATCCTACTCAAGAACAAATTATCCATGTGACTTCTATAGATTCTTGGACGTGGAGCACTTTCCTATATAATCTCATTCTCTCCATGAGAAAACTGAAGAAAGTGTTTCTAAATTCTGACATTTAAGCTTTTAGGCATATTGATGGAATCCTCAGATATCTATGTAAATTTTAATTAATTTAGTTTTGAATAACTAATTTTATTTTGCATGTGTATGCATGCAGCATGTGTGCGTGTATGTATGAATGTTCACATGTGGGTGCACATATACTGATGCCTGCACATGAGTGTGGAAGCTGCTGTCTGGAGTGAGTCGTTCCTGGTCACCTCCTGTCATGTATTAGGGCTGAGGATAATTTTTACAGTAAATATAGGAGCAGGAATAGACGTGTAACTGACAAGAGTGTTTTAAACATGGCGTGTTAACAATACTGTGGCGCTGGAGAGAAGGCTCAGCAGATGGAAGCACTTGCCAAGGCTGCTGATCTCAGTTCAGCCCTGGGACCTAAATGGTGACAGGGTGCTGACACCAGTAAGTCGTCCTCTGACCTCTATGTGTGCATACACACACACACACACACACACACACGCACACACACACAGAGTTCACATGCAGAAATTAAATCTTTAAATAAAGATGTTGGAATGAAAGCTGAACAGCTAATGTGAGCATATTGATTGTGATATGAATAGTCTCAGTGGTGTACAGAGCCGAAGAAGAGAGCATTGTGTGAGTTCAAAGTCAGTTCCAGTAAGCCTCGAGCTTATTCTAATCTATGAAGATGTGTTGGAAACTTTCTGGAATTAGGAAGCCTGCTGAGTTGCTTCCTGAGCTATTTCCAATGGTTTTATTTAAAAATATCAGAGTGAGGAAAGACTTTAGAGACTGTACAGCTTCACAGAAGAGGATAATGAATGACTCGCATGATCTATGTGTGTGCCGATTTTAAACACAGCGCCATTAGCGACAGGTGCATTCATGGTTTATTATTAAAAGAACAACCATTTTTCATAGTTACTTATCCCAATAAAGTAGTTTCCCTTTTCCTCCTTTTGACAGGCTTAATGTACTCACAAGTACCACAACCCAAAAAACGGCGTCTAATGTATGAAAAAGTCCCTGGAAGAATGGACGGGCAAACTCGGCTGAGATTTTTATGAAGAACAGAAAGGACAGTGCCGCATACCAGAGTCTACTTTATGATAATCCAGTAACAGAATTATTTAGGTTTGATTATGCATAAAAAAACATCATTTTATATGTCCTCAGTGTTCTATCATATATTCAATTTTCATAATATATAATTTGTCCTGTAACTTGGATCTAAATCTGATTATCTGATTTATCAATTAGCTTAATAAACATAAGGCCCAAAAACTATTCAGATGCATGTGTACTTCACAAGCATTTTGTCTTTTCAGATTTGGCTTTTCACTTATATGCACATATGTGGAGGCCAGAGCTACCTTAAGTTCCCAACACAGTCATTGTTAAGATTTAATTTTTCTTATTATTTAAGTTGTGTGGCCTACAAGGCCAGAGCAGATGTCAGTCTTTTTCCCAAGATGAAGCCTTATGTAGTACTGTATTCTCCTTACCCAGCGTAGGGATATAAAAACGTGTTTTCACTTCGCTTAGATCTAGATTCCTATATTTTGGTCACTGATTAAATCTTTTAGTGTTAAACTCCTAACCCATTTTTCTGTAGCTTTTTGTTTGTTTTTCAAGACAGGGTTTCTCTGTGTGGCCCTGGCTATCCTGAACTTGCTCTGTAGAGCAGACTGGCCTTAAACTCAAAGATCCGCCTGCTTCTGCCTCCTGAGTGCTGGGATTAAAGGCGTGTGCCACCACCACCCGGCTCTAGAGCTTATTTTTAATGTGTAAATAATTTAATGCTACGTAACATTAGAAAAACATTTCCACATTATGTTTTGTAATGAATATAATAAATACCAAAATCTAACACTGCAAAAAAGAAAATTATGGAACCGTACTTTTATCGGTGCAAAATTCTAATGGAAGATTACCATAGCAACAATGAAATCAAAATCCATCTGAGTTCAGTTCCTAGAGTGCAAAGATAGTTCCACGACAGGGTGTGTATTAATTCCTCATTAATATAACTGATATTTAAGGAAAAATTAATGAGTATATCTAATTCCCCCTAAGATATTTAGCAAAGTTCAGCATTCATTTGTTTTTTTAGTTTACATACAAATAGGTTTCAGTATGCCATTTTCATATTTCATTTTCAATTTTTAAAAATCGCACTGTTTAATTCAACAGCTTCCAAGGCAGTCTCACTAATCCATTAAGGCAGTCGTCATTCTCCATGTCTGAGAGGAAGTGAGAACAAGAACTAGATTTCCTCGGGTTAACTCTCTGGCCCAGGGTCCCTTCTCTGTACTCTCGTAATGACTTACACACTGCAGATTCCCTTGTGCTGAACCAGCTCCTTCTGCAGGGCATCTTCTCCTAATATACTGCTGGATCTGATCTGCCTACATTCGGGACATTTGTACCTGTACGATGTCTGTAGTTTCTCTCAACTATCTCATGGAGTGTTGCTGAAGGAAAAAGTGGATCCAAAGAGAATTTTGTTTTTAATGGAAATTTGGAGTGCTTATTAAAATCCTTATTAATCGAGATGGAGAGTGGAACATATATAATGCTATTAGGAAAGAAAAGACTGAAGAAATAGATAGTATAAAATTTCAGACAAGACTAAACAGATAATAGAAGCATCAAAAGGACACCCAAGTTATGATTAGTACGAATCCAATCCACTGATATCTGCACGATGCTGAGAATTAAGGGGGGGCTCAGCTAACGGCTTCCATCCTCTCCACTGCAATCCGACCAGTGTTCTTGTTTTTCCACTTATTTATTCATGGGTGAGTGCCAGGCAAAGCTGGTCCAGGGAGCAGCTGTGGCTCGTAATCGAGGCTTGTTTTCCATGTGATGCTAGCATCTGCTTCTGGAGACACTCTACAGGATCTCAAAGCCACATTCCACCCTCTGCATGCAGCGCTCCCTCTCAGCAGCCAACAGAAACCCGCGGCATCCCGAAAGACAAAAGCAAACACAGAATACCGTTCTCGTGGAAAACGATGAATTAGGAAAAAACTTTATTTCCAAATTCTTCAAAGATTATTATAAACACAGACTTTCCTTCTAAAGTGTCCCCAATTAAACCAAAGGCACATCACCCAAATAAGATACTTGTGACATTAGTTCTTACAGGTTATATTATTTTCATATTTTGTTTTTAACCATTTGCAGTGTTCTGAATGTAGTAGGCCACATTTAAATGTTTTTAAAGGTACAAGCACATTTTTAAGACCTACAAAAACAATTGTAAGTTGTAAACTACAGGAAGTAAGGAAAGACCTAACCAGCCTAACCCAGGATGGGCAACCTGACGCTGTACCAATTCTATAGTTGGCTAAGAGCATCTCCCAAGTTTACTGTCAAAGTATGACCATATTTCATTGAGAAATGAAAATGTTTTCCTTTTTTTTTTAAAAAAAAATCAAGATATCAATTATTCCCCCAATTTTATACTTTGTCTTCATTTAGTAATAGTAAATTCTTATGAACAAATTTTATTAAAGTATAAAAATGTTAGGAAAATTACAAATCTCAGTTTTTGAAAACAAAACGTCTCCATTCTAAAATGCAAACCCCCAGTAAGTAGAACATCCCCATTTCCCCGGCGGAGCCACGCAGGTTCTATGGGGTGAGAGATGCAGCTCAGTAAATTTGGAGGTGAGGGTTACAAAAATGGATTTCTGTAGAGTTTGGCTCTAGGACCAGGCAACAGAGAATGGGATTTGGCTGTGGAAACTGTCTTCTTGCGACGTGGGCGGTCATTCTTCCCAGTGTGCTTTCCAGAACTCCTTCCCTGTCAGAGAGAGTGTGGTCAGTTTTCACGTTAGTGAGGGTCACCCATCATTTCACAGGACACCCAATATTCACGAGGTAGAAAATAATACACGAATACAGTAAGACATGCAAACCACACCCTTGGACGAACAGCACACACGGCGGGGTGCTTCGTGAAGGGAGGAACCACAGTGTGGTGCAAGAGTTAACTCAGCAGTCCCAGGCACTGTTCCCTTTACTACAGAAATTGTGCCTGACAGCACAGTCAGCTCCTGATTCAATATAAACAATTTCCTTTTACAAGTATGTGAAAAGATGATCATTTGTTGTGTAAATACAAAATCTGAAATATGTTGGTCTCTATGTTCTTGTCATCTTAAAAAAGGAAATATAGGGAGACAGCAGGCCTTGCACACGCCAAGCTGCTAAGCTGCTCTCCCAACAATTTATTTATTTTGGGACAGTCTTGCTGAGTTAACCAGGTTGGCCTTAAACTTGCCCGCCTTTCATTTCTTTAGAAAGTTTTTAGGTTGGTAGGCAGGTAAAAGTCAGAGACTGCAAGCCATATCAGGAAATGTGGAGGCACGCGCTTTGGCAAGAGCTTCCTCTTGAAAGGAAGCAGCTAAGGTGAAGTGCGGAGGATACTACCTGAGCATGCGCACATTAGCAGTGCCCCGCCTGTCCTGCATGTTCTCATCGAGAACGGACAGGATCTATACTCTAAAAGGGTTTTAAATTCAATTCTTAGATTGAAGCAGCACTACGGTCTGCAGGAGGTGATGAAGGAACCACTGGGCTTGTCAGGAGCCGAACAGGGCACTTGATGACCGTGGGTAGAACTGCCCTTCCTCGGAACACCAGAGGCTGTGAGGTCGGTCATTTCAAGATCCACTCGTAAGCCCGGGATTCTGCAATCATTTGAAACCGGACCTTGCATAATCCCTCCTTTGACATGCCCCCATCCATGTCGACAGGATCTAAACAAAGTACTATTTCCCCACCGCTGGCCTTCAGGGTGAGCAGTTCTGAAACTGTTTGACCTACATTTTATTCTGAATCTGCTGGGGGTGCACCGGGGGCAATATCGGGATTAAAATCTGGAGGTTTGCCGGGCGGTGGTGGCGCACGCCTTTAATCCCAGCACTCGGGAGGCAGAGGCAGGCGGATCTCTGTGAGTTCGAGACCAGCCTGGTCTACAAGAGCTAGTTCCAGGACAGGCTCCAAAACCACAGAGAAACCCTGTCTCAAAAAACAAAAACAAAACAAAAAAAATCTGGAGGTTTGGGTTTTTTATTCCAACTCTGAGTTGTTTCCTGTTGCACCCCGGGTCTCATTCTTGGTCAGGTTTGTGTCTGTTTCTTACTGTGAATTCCTGTTTCTAAAAATGCCTTTGAGAGCTCCTGTTCCTGTTTCAGTCTCTGGACTCAGCGCCCCACAAACACACTTCTCCCCCTTCCCCCACTACTATCACCAGTTCGAGCTCCAAATGCTGACTTCTTATGCAGGTGGTTCTTGGTACGCTTTTAACGCTTGAGATTGCACTTCCTTCTCTAGAAATGCTTATAATTTTAATTTTCCCTTAATGGATTTAAACTTCGTTCTTATTTACCACAAATCAATAAATTTTTTTTTAAAAATGTGGAAATATAAGACCTCAATGCAAAACATTCAAACTTATAATATGCCATTCTAATGAATAAACCTGTAAAAACTCCTTTAGCCCCATACACATACAGACATGCATGCACGCACGCACAGCTACGAAAATCAAGGGAGGAAACCACAGCCCAAGGCAGACAAAGTCAGCCCCTCTGTTTAATCCTTAGTCTCAAGGGATGCAAGTCAGCTGGAAACACCAGATAGCAAATCACAACTCTGGGATGCTGTAAGGGCAGAGAGGGAATGAAGGTCAAGAAATACTGCATCAGCTCAGTTAAAGAGCTCGTGTCTACAAGATGACAGCATGTCAGAGTAGTGCCAAAGAGAGCAGGGCTTCTCTTAGCTAGACCTCCTCCATGTGCAGGAAAAGTACAGACCAGAATCACCCATCAGACAAAGTCTAGCATTTTAACAGGTTGGTTGGTTTAACCTCTGTTGCCCAAATACTCTGGGAAGCTCCCTCACAACGTTATGGCCCCGACTTGGCACTGTGCACCGTAACTCACCAGTCTTCAGAGTAAAGCACAGGACCTGGGCTCCCGGAAGGGATTGCTCCCGGCTGGCACGCCGAGCAGCAGGGCATCCTTGCAGGCATTCTGCATGCAGTACTGCTGGAGCTCCGCGGCTGCCTGCGAGACCTGCAGCAAAGCACAGGGACACCCTGCTCACACCACGCCCAGTGGCGGACACCAGGCAACCCGAGGCGGCGGGACAGCGTCACACAGCGTCATCATCATCCACGGTTCTGCTGGTTTCAGTCACTCATTCCCAGGAAGACTGCAGTCTACGATCGAGTTCTAGGTACACGTGTTTTGCTTTAACAAAGGAAAAGCTGCAACTCTGATCCAGTTAGAATTCCAGTTTCAAGTTTGAACTGGTAAGGAAATGGCTCATTCCCAAGCTCCCTGTACAGAGGTCTACGACTTAAAACCTGGGCTGACAATCTAAGCTGGCCGTGTGAGCAAGGCTGGAGCTCTGTCCAGTCCGTAGCAAGCGAGAGAATTATTCTGCTGTGCTTTTCAGAAAATACAGCCTCCTGGTTAAGAATGAGGTCTCTGGGGCTGAGGGTGGGTCTCAGTGATGGGATGCTCGCCTAGCACAAGCGAGGCTCTGGAGTTGGCCCCTAGCACAGTGCACAAGATTAATAATAGTACTACTGATGATAATTATAATAATCATAATAAATAAATAAATCGTTTTAGCCGTGGCTTGAGTATGTCCTCCAAAGGTGTATATGTTGAAATGTAATTTTCACTATGAATGGCAGAGGCTTGTTTATGTATTTTAGGTACATGAGTGTTTTGTCCACAGGTACATCTGCACACAGGAGAGAACATCAAATCCCAGGAGACTACAGTTACAGATGGTTGTGAGTCACCCTGTGGGTGCTGGGAATTGAACTCAGGACCTCAGGAAGAGCAGCCAGTGTTCTTAACCACTGAGCCATCTCTCCAGCTACAAGAGGATAGAAACTTAAACCATTACGTATTGCATTCGCCTCAAGGCTCATCTTTGGGAGGAGATTGGGATTAGATAAAGTCATCAGGGTGGAACCCCGTGACTAATAACTGGAGGTTCTATCTGAAGGAGGCCCGAGGGACAGACATAGGCATGCATGTCCCCGGCCTCCCATCATGAAAAACCCGGTGCGGCCTTGGGAAGTGACCAGCTAAAAGCCGCCAGCCGGGGCAACCCCTGTAGACCTTGGGCCCTCTAGAACCGTGAGCTGAAATAAAAGCGTTTCGTTATGTTCCTCTGTATGTGGTGCTTGGTGTCTGGCCATAGGAAGAGACTAATACAGTTGTTACAGCTGTTTGCTGTGGGCTTACAGATGCTACCATGCTTCTGACGTGCCTTAGGGATTTGCTCTTAGAGCTAAAAATTTAATTGTTGGTATATAAAATACAATATAACCAGACTAACGTTTAAGCTCATTTTTTCATCAACAGAAGCTCTGATGTTTTCACATTAATTATAACTGGAACTAATGGCTCTATGTAAGTTATTGATTTTCAAAGAAATGCAGAACAAATCATGTCCTGCTTACTGTGTTTCAGGGATGCAGGCGAACTGCATATGTGGTAGGTAGGAGACTCTCCCAGAACCCCTGGAGGAAGGGGACTAACCCGACCCCCACATAAAAGGGATGCTCAGAGAAAACAAGCTAAGAGAGGGGAGCACCTCTCAGTAGGGTCAAGGGAACCCCCAAGCCCTGCAAGCTGTCCCTGCCATGGAGGTTGGGTTGTCCTGCCTGGGTTGTCTGACTCAGCGACTTCTCAGAGGCCGCTCCAGAGGAGGAGCCCTCGAGACAGCGGGCTTTCCAGACCCTGGGAAGGGACGCTAGAAGACTGGCGTCTGCCTTACGGTGTGTCTACGTGTGGGAAGAACACCCAAGGCTGAGCCCTGCAATGGCGCTGTCTAGATTCTGTAATGTGACTCCCTTATAGGGCTGCCCAGGTTCCCCTGAATGCCCGTGTGTGTCATCATCCAGTCTTTTCTCAGTGTAGATCAGAGTCTCTTTCCCCCTGAGAATATTCGCACGCAGAGTGGGCATTTGGTTCAGTTTTCCTTCCAGGTTCAAGGCCCAGTGATATTGAACACTCTGAACAACTCTAGTTTTAGCCCCCTATGTTCTCTCTCCAAACAACCTTCTCTGCCAATAGCAGCCCCACCCAACACCAGTAACTGCTCGGCTTTGGGAAGTGAGGGACCACAACTTCAATTATCTAGGGTGCCTTTGCTTCCTCTTGCACTGACGCACAATGACCACTAGGTGTCGCTGCTCCTTGTGTCGTCACCACTCGCCCTCTCTGCAGTGTGGGTTCAGCCTCTTCCAGCCAGACCCTCAAGTTCCTTGGCTTCTGACCCCACCCCTACTTTCCGGCATACCTCTTACTAAACCCACCTTCTGAATCAACCTCCATTTGCTTTCTGCTCTCAGAATCCTTGGTCGTCGGATGCCAGGGATGGAAACGGAACCACAAGTTACAGGCCTGCTATTACAGGTTGCGACTGCTCAGGTCAGTGAGCCCCTGTGGCCAGCACTTCCACCACCCTTGGCTAGTTCCCGTTCCACGGGCTTAGAAGTAAGCTCAGCTTCCTGTTTCACAAGACTGCCATCAGTCTTGCATGCAGTAACCCATAATCAGAGGAACTCTATACACAACTTCCCTTCCCTCCTGTCCTGGAAGACGCCACCCCAAACCCTCTAGAGTCACCTTACCG